TTTCGAATTCTAATATGTCCTACGTAGTACATAGAATGTACATATTATACATATATTTTAATGCTATTCAAATCGTTTGATCAGCCTTATGGATTTGTTTTTAGGTAGTACTACAAACAGCGTGAGCCAACTTGTTACCAACGAAGTACCACTAGCATCACTTAATATAGCTCCAATTGATATCGATGAAATTGCTCCGCTACCTCCCCGTCAGAGTGTTGTGATTTCTTCTACGTTGGATACGTCCTCTATACCTTCGGTAACTGTAACAACTCCCTTGTCTGCATCTAAACTTAGATTGTTACAAGATACAACTATGATAGAGTCTGCTTTAGACTTAGATTCATTGGAAGATGCCAGTGTCGGTAGAGGAAGTCAAGCGGGACTTATAAAAATGGGGGGAATATAACAATTGAATTTATACTTTTTATGTAGATAGATTCATAGGCTTGTCGAAGTCATTGGCGCTTATCAAAGGATAGTGCAGATTTAATTCTGTTCTTTTCTATTTCTTCTTAAATATGTATCTACTTTAAATTATAGATAAAAAGAAACAATGACAAAAAAAAGTACAAAATTACTGATTAATATGTGATGAATTTTTACGAATTTATTTAAGTACTATCATAAATTACAAAATTAATCAAGGGTTAAATAACACGACCTTTATTTTATTTGATCTGCACTATTCGTTCATCATTGTACTTACATTCAATTTCAACTATTTGCGACTTCCTTTTTTTCACCGTAACGAACTAGATGAAAATATTCTACTTGAAATGTAGTAGGTATGTATAAATATACAAAATATGGAAATGCTAAAATTGATTACATGATATTCTCGATATTATACTAAACGAAAGATATGTGGATTAAGGAAGATGTACTGCATAATCATTTTATTATGAATTTGTACATTTCTGTTGCTTTTATACACTTCAGTTTCTTATCTTTGATTATACATTATAATGGAACAAGATATTCCTTTACTAATTGAAGTAACTTCTGCATTTGAAAATCTGTTTTTACTAAATATATGAAAATCCTGATTAAGTACTAATTTAACAAAAGAGAAAAATATATTTAATATGTGTATTAATTGTTATTAGAAGATATTTTTATCCATTTCAAAAATATCAAATCTGCAATGTGACGAAAAGTTGAATTCCAAAATTTTATTATAAATTAGTATTAAAAATGTAAAGTATTATTGGATCAATTTTTCATATTGGTAAAAAAGTATTACGATTTTGTTCATTAAATTTGCTATGTACAGTGTAAAGAGAGTTTTGTAAATACAAAGAATTTTCATAAACGTTAGTATAGGTTTGCAAGAATTTGAAAAATTTGTTAAGGCAATGCAGTTTGTACCAAGCATTTTAAAAGTAGATATACCACTGCCTTGTTTATGAGTAACTCGAGTTTCAACATTGCATGGCATTGTTTTATTCAGAGAAATCGGGATACACTATTAATTATTGAAAAACGAAATGACACTGTTAGTTCACTTTATCTATTAAGAATTGTCATTATATTAACTTTGAGAATATTGTCTTTTTGTACATAACGTGCGTGTATGATATTGTATGTATATATTGTGTAGATGTTATAATGATAAGATAATATACCACAAGTTAAAAATATATCAATATGTTATATCATATTATACCTATTTAAAAATTCTTCAAGTATATAATAATAATATATGTAATATCTAGTATTTTGAAAAGGTAAATTATGTACTGTGTTCAGCACATAAAAGTATTTTTATTAAATATTTCTTTTACATTCATCATAAGTATACATTTACAAAAATATTTAATAATTACATAAAACATTTAAATGAAAAATTTAATAAAGTTGTCTTTCCTAATTAACAATACGTTCAATATGTATACTCGTAAAATGTATTAATAATTTAACACTTTACTACATACAATTTACAAGTAATGCGACTCAAAAGTCTCATTGGTATATATGCCATTTTGTTCAATCAGATCACTATTATTTATTCTTATTAATATTTTTGTATGTGCAAATAACATTATGATAATATAATAGAATGTACAGATTTTATTCTTTGCATATTTCCAGTAAAATATAAATCCATCCTAATTTTAGTATAATTTGTGTATTATGATAGCAATAATTAAAATTATAACCGCAATACTGATACCTGCGACATATACTGTAGTTTGGTTATTTCCAGATGAATCTTTACCAAGATCGCTAGGTTTTACGTCGATTTCACTTTGACAATAAAATTCTGTTGGATCTGGATAATAAATTCGCAGGATTGTATATAATCAGAGTATACACATTTTTAAGATATACATAATTGTAAACACTTACCAGCTTGGACCTCTATATCTTTTTGAACGTTACTTTCATTTACTTCCAAGTCTAAAAGTTCTTGCAATGATAGAAGGGCTTCTTGAGGTCCTTCACCAGGGAAAAGGTAATCGGATAATGTTACTTTACTTTCTGGTAATGCTATTAATACTCTTCTCGGAGGTTCGTGTAACGTTATATTTTCTAAAAAGAAAGGACAGGATAAATTGTTCATAGATATCCCGAAAAGAATATACATATGTAGAAAATATTTACCTTCTGGGGATCCATTTTCTTCTTCAATTAAACTATCCCAATGCATTTCTAACCTACTTGCTAGAGACCTTATTATATCTTGTTTCACTGCCACATTAGCTTCTTCAACATTTGCTTTTTGATGAACAAAGGTTCTACTAGCCAATTGTCCAACTAAACGTATCGATGCATTGCATGGTGTTATCCTTACATTTGAGTTAATATGTTTTTCTTGCTAATAATCCATATAATAGAATGGAATTATATATTTGGTAGAAGTATTTTCATTTCTCATTTCAGAAGACATGTAACGTGACTACTTACACATGGAATGTATAAGTTAATTTGGATTGATTTATCATTACTATTCTTTTCATTATTTTTTATTCCTTTTTTATCCTTTTTACTTTTGCTGATTATTTCCAATGGATCATCAGGAGATCGTACATCTCCTTCAATAACAGTTATAGAAGACTCAATGGTGTGGGATATATTTTCTAAAATATCCTATAAAATTAAATCATACACATGGTTTTTATATGTTTAATGAATATATTAATATCTGTTGTTTATTACCTGTAGTTGTGTTTTAAGAGTTTCAGGATCTTTATCTGCAGCAATGAGAAATAAACGATCAAAATCTACAAGAGCTTCCAGTTGATGCCACTTGGTAGCTTTTCCTTGAAACTTCCATTCCGCTGGCTTCAACATCCCAGTTTTATTGGTTTCTATAGATTTACAAATATATCTAAAAATATTAGGCATTATGCTGTATATAAAAATAATCATTTGAAATGCATGATGCTTATAATGCATTGTACTTTTGTGTAATGCTATTCAAGCTTAAAATAAGATGTTCTTCGTTGTTGTCTCCACAGAGGTACTTATTGTGCATCAAATTTCTCTGAATTGCCATAAGGATAGATTTAATTTTCTGTACATTTATGTTCTCATTCATAGTATCATCAGGACCAACAATAAATGCACCAAGAACATGCATTCCACCAGGTAACATTCTGGTGACCTATATATAATATTAAAGTATTTAACTCTTGCAAATTGAAAATTACTTCCATAAGATTTTTAAATGTTAAACATACATGTTTAGCATGATCAGCAACCCAGCTCTCAGGTATATCCCTCACTGATTTAATATAATTTTCAGCAGTTTCCTGCTGAACATTTGTCGTTGAACTAATCAATGTTTCTTCCACAACATTTTTGCCAAGAGGAGGTGGTGTTTTTGCTAAGTGTACAATATAATCTTTCTGACCAGCACTCTGCAATTTCAATATCAGTTTAAATAATCAAATGCAAAACAGATAATATTCATTTAATCAACTATAACAGTACAAAATTCCAGTGAACCATTGGTTGATTGCATTCTGATCTTCCACCTTAACCTTTCGTTACTAAATCAATTCGTAAAAGAATAAATATGAATTAAAATTGAATACTAATTTAGTAAATGTATCGTAAGTATGATTTTTACAAAAATCAGTGAGTAATGAATATTAATTAAAATAATCTGAAAACACGATTCTCGGTCAACATTTACATATGCTACGTAAATAAAAACATGGAGATGACGTGAAATTGAAACATACAAAAATCGAACCTGTCCCAAAATTAGGCCTATCGTATATTCATCCGGTTTTCCTAACGATGTCAGGTAATTGTGTAAACGTTCTTCCGCATATACAGTTCGTCCCATTTTCTCTTCACTTGGCAATGCAACGTCAGATGGTCAAATACGATTGACTATGTACCCTTACCAAGTTACTATAGTAAACACGTTAATATTAGTTATACAAATTTATACAGACTTGTGTATGATACAACAGATTCTATAATTCTTTCCGTTTGACTTCGATTACATTGGACTACATTCTGTTCGTCGAGAAGATGGTACCAGATGGAAGGAAGTGGAATGAAGTAAATAAAACATGATTGTGATATTGAGTAGGAGCACTCTTCAATTTATATTGAATTATATTTACATATACAAATTACTAACTACGTATGTGAATAATAACGAACCATATTATAATTCTATATTAACTAAAAAAAATAAAAAGATTTGTTTAAATAATTTTGACTCCGTAAGCAGCGCCTTCGACGATAGAACGCGCAAGGTTGTCGTAAAACAATATCTATCATTGTCGATTGATGGTACTAAAGCTGTAGCTATGTTGGTAATAATAAATAAATAACGCTTGCTTACTGTAAACTGCATTTTATTCAAATAGCGATAGTATTGCACAGTGGAATTATACAAATACGCTTTTGATAAATAATATATATTTTGTGTATATATGTAAGGTATAACCTTAAATATTATGTAATCAAATACTTTTTAAATGCCAATGTAATGTATCAATTGTAATATTTTAGTTCATATTTACAAATGCATATATGTATAAAAAATAATATTCTTATTACAAGTTATACACAATATTGAAACAGATATTACAATACAATGGTTAAAGTCTGGACTGCATTCCACCAGCTGCAACAATAGTTTCACCAGTAATATAAGCAGCATCATTGCTTGCTAAAAATGCAGCAACTCCTGCAATATCATTTGTTTCGCCAAATCTTTGCATTGGTATTGTGGATAAAGATGTATCTCCTATATCACCTTCAACAAGCTGTAAAATAAAGAAAGATATACTTTAAAGATGTGATGGATAATATATAATAATATAATTTATAGAAATCCATGTAAATACATACTAATTGCGAAAACTTAGTCTTTATAATACCAGGTGCTATAGTATTGACACGGATTCCTTCTGATACAAGACTAGCAGCAGCTACATTGTTAAGACCTAATAGAGCTGTTTTACTAACAGCATATGCACCTAACAACTAAGATCCAAATAAACATAAATTTTTATAAAGTATACAAATTTATTGTGATCATAGTATTTAAGAAATTTCTTACAGTAATTGGTTGGTATGCTGCTATCGAAGATATAAGAATTATTGAAGGTGATTTACTCTCTCTCAAAAGCGGTAAGGATTCTTGCATTAAAAGAAAAGTACTTTTAACATTAACATCAAAGATTTTATCCCATAGTTCTTCAGAGGTATCAAAGATGGTATTTGCACTAGGATTTGTAGCTGCATTTGATACAAGGATATCTAAGCCACCAAATTCCTCTTTTGTCTATAAGATTATTAATATTAATTAATTATTTACCCAAAAAATGAAACTTATGTTATGATCCAAAATGTAATTTTTCGACACTGCTACGTACTTTATTGAAAAGATTTTTTCTATGATCTTTTTTACTAACATGGCATATAACACCAGAAACTTGTAAACCTTCAGATTTAAGTTGTTCCACAGCTTTCTTTACATTTGACTCTCTGCGACTGCTGACCATTACCTTAGCACCTTCTTGAGCTAAACGTCTTGCAATTGCAAAACCGATCCTGTATGTATGTACACATCTCATTTAAGTATTCAATTAATGTATAAATATATATTATAAATTCGTAAATTAGTATTTGAATACAAGAGATTATGTCGTATAACCTATACAACAATAATAATTATTTATTCATTTATTTACCCTTCAGTTGATGCTGTTACAATTGCTACTTTTCCTTCTAATCGGTTGCATTTTACCGTTAACCCATTAGTGCTAAGTTTTCGTATGCCTTGCTCTGCCGAAATGCGTAGCATTGTAATATTTTATTAGTATATTATTATTAATTAATAATAAGTGGATCCAAGTGCAACCAAAAAAAATTTAAAAGCCCAGTCATGCTACAGTGGGGCCATCCGAAGCAAAATGCCCAAGCTTGCAGTAAAACAGTTGCCAATCTCACCGCTAGATGACGATATAAATAGCATAGTGACGCCATCTTACAGTAACAGTGGGAATTATTTTCGATATAAAATGGACACTTCTTCCGCTGATAACGGCCACATCCTGTGGAAATCGCGTATTTCCATCTCTCTCTTCCCTCTTACTCGATATGCGAGAGTGGGGGAAGCGGCCATGTTCCGCTTTGCGAGAGGCGGCAAGAGAGTCAGTCGTGGTCAATCGTTGGTCGTTGCTAGCCATTGAACGAGGTACATAACACGTGGACTAGCTATAGCGTCCACTTTTTAATAAAGTCAAGTCTTTGTTGTTATTGTTGTAATTAACGTGTATACGTTTTTCTCCTGTCTTTTTCCATTAACGGTATGGCGAGAGTAGTAGGGTAAAGATTCCTGCATTACCAGGAAGAGCAAAAAACCTAGAATCCGCTCTAACTACGCCTTCTACCAGCGATAGTATATAGGAAGTATAATTATTACAAATTTGAGTGTTATGCCAATAATGGCCAAGATTTGCAGTGTCTGCTAATACAGCGGGATTATTTGGGGAAAAATATTTGATACGTAACAAATTCTGACCAAATTTTACATTTTGGTAACGGGAACACAGGTCCGCGAGAGGGCAGACCACTGTAACATAATTTACAAATCTATTTATTTTTTCAATTACAAAGTGAAAATTATCTGTGAAAATTTTTCATTTTTTTGCAGAACGACTGCTTGTACGAGTGCAGAGTGATCAAGCGATAGAAGATCGAGAAAATGTTTATGTCAGACTAACTGCATGCGAGAAAAATGTGAACGATTGGCAACAACGCATGAGATTTTTCAAGAGCCTTTATTTTAATACAACCTGTATATAAATATACATGTATGTGTGGGTTTGTAATTATGTATATATGTGTCTATACAGGGTGTCCCAAAAGTTGGGGAGGAGCCGGAAGGGGGGAGGTAGCTGAGACGATTCTGAATAACAATTTCCTTTGCAAAAATGTCGGATGGGGCTTCGTTAAGGAGATATTAAGCGAAAACCCCGACCAATCAGAGCGCGCGTAGACCGTTGGAGCGGCCGCGATAGCGAAGGCTACGCGTTAGGCGGCAGCGTCAATGTCCCTCGATGCACGTCGAGTCACTTGTTCGCGTACAAGCGCGCAGCCTTCGCTACCGCGGCCGCTCCAACGGCATCCTCGCGCTCTGATTGGTCAGTGTTTTCCGTTAATATCTCCTTAACGAAGCCCCATCCGACATTTTTGCAAAGGAAATTGTTGTTCAGAATCGTCTCCGCTACCCCCCCCCCCCCCCTTCCGGCTCCTCTCCGACTTTTGGGACACCCTGTATAGTGACTCGCATTAATATTCGGATACTTTTTAAAACACAGTTCCTTCTTTTGAAATGGTCTAAATGACTTGAACTTTTTTTTGAAAAGTTAGAAGAATTAATTTACTAGGTAATTCTGAATAAACATTTTGTTTTACATGTGCAAACATATACTCTGTTGCGAATATTAGATAAATATATGTTTTATCTACGGAAAAAAATATTCTGTTGCGAATATTAAATAATGACTGTATACCCAGATAGCATAGGAACAGGAACGTCTTATGTACGTCCATGAGACGTTCGGTGCTATCTGGGTTTTTTCATTTTTATATTGTAGAATCGAGTAACTCCACGTTAACGACAATTATGTGTCCAGTTTTTGTTTGTTTATATGCTCGATAAAACGTACTGAATGTACTAAATACTTTCTAAATATAGCTCCCTTTAAAATGCTTTTGCAGTGTTCTGACCCTCTTGATACTTTAATTATAATTATTTGTTGGTTTATTAACTTTTTGCAAACAATTTAACCGCTTCAGCACACTTGATATAAGGTTTAGATCACTGATAACATTCAGGAATGATTTTCCATACGATCTTGATTGTTATTAAATAATTATGAACATTTTCCAAGAGCGTTCCGCAAGATAGAAATCACGAGAGGTTCAAATATGGGTACAGAGTGAGTCCGAGAGAAAGAAACACGTAGGACAAGGATAGCTAACGTTTTGTTTTTTTTAAATTGACAATATACAAGGTGTCCGAAAAATGTTGTAACACCTTGAAAGAGGTGGTTCGGGAGGTGATTTGAAACAACTTTTTCCTTTGCGAAAATGTTGTCCGAAGCTTCGTTAAGAAGATATTAACGGAAAACGTTGACCAATCAGAGCGCGCGTATGCCGTAAAAGTATGTTTTATTGTTCAGACAGCTTACAATTAACAATAATTACCACGTAACGAGAATATATTAAAAGCAATAACTTGATTTGCTAAGGAAACAATTATTTGAAGTATAGGAAAGTTTACAAGATGCTGATCATGAACTTCGAGAGACACTACACCACCAACAGGTATCAATCATAGACATAGGAGTATAGGGACTGGCATAGCTGGACCAAGAGTGAAGCCATGGCCGCCTTATTACGTTGCTAGACGTACTGGACGACTCCTATACATCTGTACTTATAGAGTTTGTAATCTATGGCTAAAAGCTTCCTTCGCAACTGAAACGGAACCTCTAACATCTTCTAACAACTCCAAATACCTTCCAACACCACCTAACATCTCCTACACTTTCTGACATTTCCTGACACTCTCTAACATCTCCCAAAATGCTCCAACAACTCCTATCACTCTCTAAGACCTCCTAACAACTTCCGACAGTTCCCTTCACTTCTATTCATTTCTTAGCACATTTCCCTTTAATTCCCCTCCTTTCTCTGGTACCTCTCCTCTTTGTTAAAGTGATCCAGATACAAAAAGTAAGTTATGAGCTAAAATTAACACATATTCCAGCTCTTCGAATATCATGTTCTTATAATATCAGAAGTAAAATTAGAGCCAAATTCGATTGGTGACGTTCTTCGCTGTTCATGAGATCCGGATACAATAGGTAAGTTTCGAGATAGAATTAAAAATTATGATGCCTCTTCGCATATCATGTTCGCCAGAATAAAAATGTGGCATGATTTTTAATCGAATATCGATACTTACCTCTTGTATTAGCAGACTTCCGGTCGGCCATTGGTTGGGACACAACGGAAGAGAAATAAAGAGAATTAGATTTAATCAATACGGTGGAAATATACAGTTAAATAATATCTGAGTGCGTTTAATCGGTGGAGTGAAGTGCGAGATAAAAACCTAGATATAAATTTGGGGGGGGGGGGGGGATAAAAAAAAGAAAAATTTAAAAATTTCGAAAAATTTAACCTATATCTATGGGAGATAAAAGAGAAGCGGACCGCCGACACCGCCCGCCGCCCGCGGGCGGGCTCTTCCTCCCAAAAGCCGGAAATACGTTGCAACAACAGGAGTCAAGAGTAAGACTGATCCAGCGATCGGTAGAGGAGATCTATAGAGCGCGCACCAATAGGAAGGAAGAGGGAACAAACGAGCCAATGAAGAAGAAGAACGGAAAGGAAGAGGAGCCAATCAGCGGCCCAGAAGAAAGACCGTCAGCGCCCCTAGCGAGCGGAAGACTAAGGTTGAGAAGGAAGAGTGAAGAACAAGCAGTTGAGAACGAATACAGCGACGAGAATAGAAATGCAAGGAAAAAGTTGAAGATTATAGGCAGTAAAAAGACAAACATAGTGGTAAATCCATACAAAAGTAAAGTGGAAAATATTGAAATTAAAAATACTAACGTTCCGTCGATCGTAGAATCGATAGATTGAAGGGGTGATAATACAAAGGTGAGAAACATAAACGGCCGCAATGCAACACGTGGTTCGCCACGTGCGGAGATAGAATCAGATTCGGATTCGTCGTCGAACAAAAGACATAAATCTAAAAATAAAGAGAAAATTCCAATTAATATTGAACCAGCTAATATCAATCTATTCGAAATAGAAGTGATTAAAAAAAACCTGAACAAAGGAGGTAATGCATATTTTAAATCGAACAAAAAAATAAATTACCTAAAAATTTTCAGATTCCTAAGAGAAGACGTCAACAAATTTGAAGCAATCAAAATGTTGAATAAACATATAGCAGAAATTAAAATTAAACGACAGAGGAAGGAATGGAAATTTATAACAAGTATATCAAAAGGAACAACGGTGATTTTAAAATACGTATTCCAAGAAGGTCTGAATTTAGAACCGGCATTATCAAAGAATGGGAGTACTCCCTAGAGGAATTGAAAGAAGAGATCCTTCCTGGACAAAACATCGAATCCTTGGAAAGACTGAGGAAAAGGAAAAAAGTGGAACACGGATATGAATGGGTGGAAACCCAAATGGTTCTTGTTAAATTTAGAGATACCAATCTACCGACTAAAATAGTTACTATGGAAGGACACGTGTGCCTTAACGTTACCCCATTTGTAAGAAACATAAGACAGTGTTACCAGTGTTTACGATTCGGACATACGAAAAGATTCTGTCGAGAGCCGGAAAGCAAATGTTTCAATTGTGGAAAGGGATCTCACGGTGAATGTACAAATTCCCCCAAGTGTGCCAACTGCGAAGAAGATCATTCAACACTCAACAGGCAATGACCGTATGCATTATTAGAGAAAGCAATAAATAAACAGATTGCCTATAAGAACATGTCTTTCCACGAGGCAAAAAGCGTGGCCATGACCGAATTGAAGTTTAGAGGACCCAATAACTTCAGATACAAAGAAGAAGAATTCCCGGCTCTAGGTCAGAAGAAAAATAAAGGAAGATTTAGCATGGAAATTGCCAAATGGGAGGATCAACCCTGCCCAATAAGGGAAAATGTCTGGTTTACACCAAACAGAAGGCAAGCGAGAGGCAACGAAGGGTATGGACGATCACCAGTCAACGCAGCAAAGGTCAGTACCGTTACTAAAAATAGTTTCCAACCATTAGAGGAAGAAGACACACAAATTCTTACTCCGTCTTACCATGTAACGAAGAATCCAAATAGTTATAATAAATTTGACCTGGAAGAAGAGAGTGGAAATCGTACACCAAAGATAAGAAACCAAAAATCAAATAAGGTAAACTATGGCATTAATAATGACAAAGATATAGAAGACCTTATAAACTGGATTAAGGAACAGAAGCTAGTTAATGTTGTAAGGAGCAAATTAAACGACCCATCACCAACCCACTTATGGAAAAAGAAGTATGATCAGGGACGCCAGGGAGAACCAACAGAGAGTGAACTCAGTGAAATATACGAAGAGAGACAAAGATACTTCTTAAAAAATTACCACAAAGAAAAAAACTTTCTACAACAGGAAAGGGAAATAGAGAAGATCCCCCTAACCTACAATGACGAACGACACCGTAAACCACAGAAAATTAAAAATGATCCACCTATTATAATAAAAAACAAGGACTATTATCAACAGAACAAACCGACCACATCAAAACACAGACTAACCCCGACAAATGAACATAACCTATACATTCCCGAATTTCAAAGTAAAAGTAAGCATAATTTTTCAACACTGCCTAAAGTGGCCCCGAGGTCAACGCAATGTGAAGAGGAAACCATACCGGTGGTAAATTCACCAACAAGCTACATGTCTAGCGAAGAATGGGAAGGAATTCCTGACGTAGTGACAGTTGACGCTCCAATAAAGAAGAATGAAGAAGCAGAAATAGAACGGCAAGAGAAGACGGTGACAGAGATACCTCCAGAAGAAAAGAACACTACATTCGAAAATGTGGTGCCGGAGAGCCAGGAGAAGGAAGACGACGAATACTCGGAATCATTCAAATCACCACAAACAGAGACGGATGATGAAAACGACTTTTTAAATTTGCAATCTGAAAACAAGGGACTTTAATGCACATAACCCCCTCTGGAACTGTCAAAAAAGTTCCGTAGAGGGCTCTAATTTAGAAATAGTTTTGGAAGAAATTGAATTTATGATTGTCAACACTGACGCAGTATCTAGAATAGGAAAAGGCACTCAGCCCTCAAATATCGACCTAAAATAGCATATCATAATGATTTCTCAGACTACATCGAATGGAATGAATCAGGAAACGTAACAAATAAAACAAACAGATTATATAAACCGAACAATATAGATTGGAACGAATTAAGGATGCACTTAATGAATAAAGAAGAAGAAATAAATATAAACATACAACAAGGATACAACCTCTCAGAAAAATACAACAAATGGAAACAAGCAATATTAGATTATTTTAAGAAACAACACACATCGGAAAACCCAACCAAGGTGATGGGACGAGGAATGTACCTCAACATGGAAAACATGGAAAAACTGCCAAAAGAATCTTTGGAAATATGGAAAAATCGAAGACTACGAAAATACGCTGGGATGAAAGACCAAATGGAAAATCCTGAAAAAAGAAAAAAAGAAGGCTGCCTGGGAAAACCTTGTACAAGAGATGAGCAATAATACAAACATAACGAAAATTTGGAATAAGATTAAAGGGATTAAAAAATGCTACACAGGAAACACCGGAAATTTGGAAACAAAGCCCCGATCCCACAAGAAGAAGACAATAATCTGACAAGAATACGGAATACACCAATAGACAAAATAGAGATGCTCCACACAATAGAAAAAAACAAGAATAAAAAATCAGCACCAGGAATAGATGGAATAGACTATAAGATAATAGCAGAACTACCACTCTATATGAAAGAACACCTATTCAGAATCTACGAGGAAAGCTGGAGAACAGGAGAGATCCCTCCAGACTGGAGAAGAGGAGAAATAATCATGTTGCAAAAACCAGGAAAAAATGCTCTTCGACCAATAACTCTCACATCCTGCGTAGGTTTTAGGAAAAATAAATCAACGATGGACAATCTGATACGAATAACAAATGAAATTAAACACAACAACAGGGAAAAGTGTAATACAGTAGGAATCTTTATAGATATTAAAGGTGCTTATGACAACGTAAACCTAGTCAAATTATTACACGTCCTGAGAATGTCAAACTGTCCATCGACCATGTAGAATTGGCTAAGAAACTGGCTCAACATTAGAAAGAAAAAAATTGACGATGAACAAACTACCACACTACTTTATGCAGACGATATAGTTATAATAAACAAATACAAAAAAGAAGAAACTTCACTACATCCATCGGAGACAGCTTTAAGGAGATTAATAAACCATCTGGAAATCAGGGACCTAACAATAGCACCGGAGAAAACAAAAGTAGTCCGATTTCAAACCAACCCAAAAATGGAAGACTTTTCGATTGAAGCTGTAGTAAACAAACAGAAGACGTTTATCAAGTCCAGTCCCGAAGCTAAATTTTTAGGAATTACATTAGACTACAACCTACGATTCAAAACCCATTTTGACGATATCATTGCTAAAGCGAAAAAAAGATTGGGGATTATTCAATACCTATGCAGAGGGCAAAGAGGGATAAACCAAAACTGGGGTATCAAAATGACCAGAGCCCTTATTTCCTGGGTTATCGACTATGGGGCATATATTATATACACCAAAGCAGGAAACCTCGAGCAGAATAAAAAAATCAGAAGAATTGAATCTGCCGCCTTGAGAGCAGCCATGGGATATCGGATGTCTACCCCTATCGCAGTCATGTACGCTGATACAGGGTTCGTAGGACACCATCTAAGAGCAAAACAAGCTGCAATTAGATATTGGCTCAAGGAAATGGAAAAATCAGAAAGGTATAGTAAATACATTGAGTAATCAAATGATCTATTTTTCGCGACACAAGGAATCAGACCACTTAACGCAATATGATAAAGGAATAGGAACGAAACCCAGCTTAATCGAAACTTCTTTTTACGAAATAGCGCATCTCAAAAACAACATATTGTTTAGCAATCAGACATCGGAAAACAGCTTCAATTGGAAAGAGAAGATCTTAAATAAAAGAAAAAACCTGGACAAAATATATATAGATAAGGAATCAGGCAAAAAATTTGAAACTGGAGCAATTCCCTTAAATACGATCAACCAATTCCTGATGGATAAACACAACGTTAAAGAAGAGGATACAATCATATGTTATACGGATGGATCAAAACAAGAGAATAAAACCTCAAACGGAATAGGAATAATCTTCAACTTACCCCAAGGAAAGACCATAGAAACCGGTTACAGTATACATAAAGAAGCAACAATCTACATCACAGAAGCCATAGTTCTCATAGGTCTTGAAAGTGTAATAGAAAAACTCGATACCACAGACAAAAGATGCAATAACGCATGGATACTGACAATTTATAAAGCATTGATAAATCTGAAGAACCGAGAAAAAATAGTCCTGGTATGGGTCCCAGGTCATCAAGGAATCCCAGGAAATGAGAAAGCGGACATCCTCGCGAAAGAGTGCACCAACCATGGGAAGATATACCAATCTTAAGACTAGATTATTTGGTAGATCAAAAACGTAAAATTTGGAATTTATTCAGCAGCAGAGTCGAGGAAATTGGCAGGAATAAAGGGACACACTATTTCTCTAACTTCTGGGAACAAAAGAAAAAACTAAGGTTCAAACCATGGTTCCAAAAGTTTGGAAATACATTAGACAGGCATGTCGATTTCGAGAATTAGATCAAATCATTTTAATTTAAAAGAGTCTTTAGGTAGAAAAGGCATAACGGATAGTAAAATATGCGACTGTAAAATGGAGGACGAATCCATAGAACACGTCCTCTTCCGCTGCCCATTTAGAATCATTCCGCGTTTAAACATGTTTGATAAAATAGGTACTTCAATTATTAATAGTAACTACAACATAGTGCAATTATTAAACAGCGAAAGGATCTCGGGGGAAAGGATTAAATCTAATTCTCTTTATTTCTCTTCCGTTGTATCCCAACCAATGGCCGACCGGAAGCTCAGCAGAACGTGTTGATCGAAAAGATATCATAATTTTTATTTTGGCTCCAAACTTATCGTTTGTATCAGGAAATCATGATATTCGGAGAGGCATCATAATTTTTAATTCTATCTCGAAACTTACCTATTGTATCCGAATCTCATGACTAGCGAAGAGATGTGTCAGGGAAAAGAGGGAAATTAATAGGAAACATTCTAGAAATTAAAAAGAAATAAAGGGAACTGTCTGGAGCCCTTAGGAGTTGTTAAGAGATATTAGGGAGGGTTGGGAGGTGTTGGGGATGTTTGGAGACGATAGAGAGTGTTTGAAGGTGTTAGGAGTTGTTAGTGTGTATTAGGAGCTGTTAGGAAATGTCACCAAGTGTAAAGGAGATGTTAGATTGTGTTAGAAGGACGAGACTTGATTTCTACGATCTCGATCTTGACCTGAAAAAATGTCGAAACATGCATATCGATCCAGAATTTTCGACAGTTCAAAATATGCAAACATTCTCGGAATATATTACTAAAGAATTGAATATCAACACTTATAATACACACCTTCGTTTTATTAGAAACGATATACAATTTTTCCAGTTCTTTGATTATACGGGTTTAATGATTCCATTTCGCACAGAATGCAAGTACATTACAAATAGGATAATTTTATGTAATGCAAGAAAACAACATTTCAGAAAATACGTATTTCGTAGTTTGATCTGTAGTTTAAATATAAAAATTGTTGTGAAAATTGACTAACATTTTGCAATAAAAATATATCAATATTAATACATAATTTATAGAAATGAATTTTTCTGAAAACTAATTATATTCCTGCTAATCTAAATCTATTCTCACTTTACACTTTACACCGTACACGTTTACACTTTACACTTTGCACATTTTATATCTAAAGATCTTATTACAAGTTCGCAGCCATTAGTTCTCGGTATTATTCGCGACGACCAGGTCTCACCACGTGGAGGTTGCTGCGACTGGAGACCCGGAGATAGAAGGAATCAAATTTCCTTCGATCTCCCTCTACATAGAGTACACATACGTAGATGCATACTGTACGTAGAGCAACGAGCTTAATACTAAGTACGAAACCGTGGAAATCAAAGAAAAAAAAGTCCCTTTGATATCCAAAGTTCAAGTCTGACTCTGCCAAATAATTATTTGAACTAAGAGGAGTGAAGCTAAATCGCGATACGACGCGACCATGAAATTGGACTTACAGAGTCAGTCCCGTTTCCTCTGGTGGGTCTGATTCGAGAGAAAGACGATCAACGTCTCCGCCAGTACTCTATTCCCTGCATACCTGCTGCTGAAGGCCCAGGTCCTAACCTGACAGTGTACGACGTAGGTAGTACCGCGTCGGGTTAGCCTGCCCTGGCGACACCAGGTATGTCTAACGGTCGTAGAGTCCGAAACGGAGTTCTACTCTCTGCACAACGTCAGGAGTCCAGGACACGACTTGCACCGTTTTACGGCTCTTTTGAACAGCGTTGCGCCGGGAGCCTGGACTTCGCCTGACGCGTACGGAGAATAGAAGATTCCTCGGAGGCGTCGATTGACGCCTCTCTCAAATCAGACCCACAAGAGGACGGCAACGGATCTCGGCCAGTCACATGGTTGGTCACTACACTTATCGCATGAAGCAATAGTGACCGAAGTGGAGCACGATATTAAGAGCCCAATATGGACTTACGAACAAACAAAACAAATTGATTAATAATTAATTGGCAGAGGAGACACTCGTACACGGAACCTTAAAACTAACCAAACTAAACTAAGATACTAAGGGAAACTACAAATAGGAGGGACGCGAGATGTGGACGCGCGATCGCGAGATCCATATCGAACGAAGGATCAACTGGGACCAACGACGAATGAGTTTCTCGCCCCTCGCATACCTGCTTGGGCGCGGTCGTGCGTCGTAGCTGGTTTATACCTCTGGAACTAGAGAAGGGGAAGGATGAACAACAACCGCGTGACATGTCGTGACGTGTCGATTCGAAGGCTCGTTGGATCCATCCACAAAAGAATTTACGAAACATTAATACCACAGCATAATCATATTCTACATCATTGTTTAAATAATAAGTATTGTTAATAATTAATTTAACTATTGTCAGAAATTAATATTTAGTTGGTGCAATTAGCGGATATTAAAATATTGACAAATTTCTCACGATTAATGTCTCGAATGAATATTATTTATTCCTAACCGTAATTGTTATTAATATTTAATTGAACACTGAATGATACTGTATGTATCATAAACGTTTAATTATTTTGAATTAATTGTTTCAATCAGTAGATATTAAAATATAGAAAAATACATGTATCTCACGACAAGCTGTGTAACGGGACATATTTATCCTGTTACTACCCACCCATTTCATCGCCTCACAGCATCTTTCACCATATAACGTGACATGAATTTCGGCTGTTCGAAAATAAAAAGATTTTCAATCTTAAAAAGTTGTTAGGAGCTGTTAGGAGATATTAGGAGGTTTAAGGAGGTGTTAATGGGATTCACATAAAAGTAGGATTGGCGCTAAGATTTGAACGAATTTTAAAAGACATGGTTCTCGTACCTTACGCTTACGTCTGCACTTGGACTCCTTGGCACTGATAGATATACAGGGTATCCCAACAGTGTTGTAACACCTTGAAAAGGGTGGTTCGGGAGGTGATTTGAAACAACTTTTTCCTTAGCGAAAATGTTGTTCGAGACTTCGTTGAGGAGATATTAACAGAAAACACCGACCAATCAAAGCGCGCGTATACCGATAGAGCGGCCGCGGTACCAAAGGCTATGTGCTAAGCGGCCGCGCTTGTACCCGAACAAGCGACTCGACATTCGAAGGACATTGGACGCGGCCGCTTAGCTCGTAGCCTTCGCTACCACGGCCGCTCCAACGGTATACTCGCGCTCTGATTGGTCGGAGTTTTCTGTTAATATCTCCTCAACGAAGTCTCGGACAACATTTTCGCTAAGGAAAAAGTTGTTTCAAATCACCTCCCGAACCACCCTTTTCAAGGTGTTACAACATTGTTGAGCCACCCTCGATACTGTACTAGCTGCATCCCGCGGTTTCACCCGCATGGAATACCAACGTTGAAATCCCTTTTTACCTCCTTAGAGGTTGAATTTTGAAATATCCTTTCTTATTCCTTGTATACATTATAAAGGAAACCTCTGTGCAAAATTTCAGCTTTCTAGGTTCAAGGGTTTAGTCTGGGCGTTGATTGGAATCAATCAGGGCTTCATTCTTACATATACATATACATATACATATGTAGATATATCAGTACTCTTTAGTTCCTGAGTTCTGTTACGGTCATCACAGTCATCAAAAGAAGCCGGTATGAAGACTCTACGGAGTTGTAAAACGAAAACATGGTAGAGATATGTCAGAATTTATTGTGTGCGTTGCAATTTAACTGCTAAAAGTATTATCTACTACAAATATGTGGGAATAAATTGTTTAGTCTTAATATTTTACATTGAACGAGAGAATTTTTCGCACTTTCTGCTGCGATGGTAACATTAACGAAATTTGTGCTCATCGCAATTGTTTATGGTAAATATATTTATTCTTATTGACGGTTACAAGGTACAACGCTATGTTAACATTAACTGTAGAAGCATAAACTTTTTATTCTGTGTAATAATGCATAACCTCGAATACTATCGATCGATAATTTAATAGTGTTTTATTCCACTTTTAATTTGATTTTAGTGAATGAAATTAGTTAAGCTTATGCATAAACAAAATAGTGAACAAATTGTTAATTTTAGTGACATTATAGTAGTTATATGATATCCAATTTTTTAATTTTTGTCCAATAATATTATTTGCTATTTTACAAATATACATATTTTATTATATATTGTTTAAAGTAGCTTTGTTATTATAACGTAACTTAGTTTTTTCAGGAATTTTCACACATGTAACAGCATCACGTGTACTCGAATTAAGTGACAGGTACAAAGTGGTTGAAGTTACGTTACATCATTCATATAAAAACTCAATGTTTTAATATAAATTTTACCGTAGGTTCTTGGATATTCGAAAAGATGGACAATGGCTAGTAATGGTATAAATACACTTCATTATGAATAATATATAGTATAAAGTGAATGCTGTATGTGTGTAAGCAATATTATTGTTTATAAATTTAAAATACTGTTCTATTTTAGATGTATGCACCATGGTGCGCACATTGTAAGCGTTTGGAACCAATTTGGGCTCATGTAGCACAGCATTTACATGCAACATCAATACGAGTCGGACGTGTGGATTGTACTCGATTTACAAGTATAGCACATGCTTTCAAAGTTAAAGGATTCCCAACCATTTTATTGTAAGAGAAGAAACTTACTCTTATAGTTTAAGACTGACATATTTATACTAATATTATTTATTTACATATAGTTTGAAAGGGGAGCAAGAGTTTACTTACCATGGAGATAGAACAAGAGAGGAAATAGTAAAATTTGCATTAAGAGTAAGTGGTCCACCTGTCCAAGAAATAACAAAAACTCAAAGTTTTGACACGATTAAAAAAGAACGTGGTTTATACTTTTTGTACATTGGAGAAAAATCTGGACCATTATGGGTATTATTGATATTAAACTTTATTTATAATATATTAATAAATGCTTTAATTAACGAAACTTATAATATTCAGGAATTTTATTACAAGACTGCAGATGTGTTCCAACCACACGCATTTTTCTATCAATCTTATCCAGCTGTTGTTAATAAACATGCTCCCGAAGGAAATGTTCCAGCATTATTTGTTTATAAAGAAAGTTCACACTATAATTTTACAGGTAAAGTTAATAAAAGAGCAAAATATAATTATTATTCTACTTCTAGTAATTAATACTGATATATATATTTTACAACATAGGTCATACTACAAGTGATATAGAAAAGTTAAATGAGACGTTATATAAATGGATAAACGCGGAACGTTTCCCTACATTCCCAAAAGTAACAAGAGGAAATATAAATCAACTTTTTTTAACAAACAAAAATCTGGTGTTGGCAGTAGTAGAAGAAAATCAATTAGAGGAAGTACCACCACACATGGCACGGTTTAAAGATATGATAGAATCTATAATTAAGAGCAAGCGAGAAAAGTATCACGAGTAAGTTATTTTAGAATAATTTGTATATTTCTTACTTTAAGCAAAATATAATTGTAATTACTATGTTTTTAATTAGCCACTTTCAGTTCGGTTGGATAGCTAGTCCTGATCTAGTCAATAGTATAGCAATGATGGTTCTACCGTTACCAAGTTTGATTGTTATTAACACTACAACAAATCATCATCACATTCCAGAAGATGAAGCAGAAAAATTGACTCCTCAAGTAATTGAGTTTTTCCTAGAGCAAATACGCAATGAAAGTGCTCCGGTAGATACAAAATTATTTCTATATGTACATTTTAATTATTTTGTAAAACAAAACGAAATTGATATAATGGTATCAATTTTCAGCGATACGGTGGAAACAATTGGCTCGTACATGTTTACAGATCATGGTTTGAATTAAAAACAACACTTACTGCAATGTGGATGGGTAATCCTATTTTGACAATGGTTTTGTTCGGCTTACCAGCTGGATTTTTATCATTGATATGTTATGGTATCTGTTGTCCAGATATATTAGATGCAGATGATGATGACGAAGGTAAATTTGTATAGTTTTTTTTCTAAACTTGTAATATGTAAATTTACATTTTACATATTTTTAATTTTAAATAATTTTGCAGAATACTCAGGGGGAAATCATATGAAAAAAGACTAAAAAAAAGCTTAGGTCATCATTAGTTCTATTGATTTTCTGAGACTCTTAATGATACGAAAGTGTACATATTATTATTTTATATTATAATTTTTACTTTTAGTTAGATAAAATTTGCTAATTTAACTCTTTGTAGATGGAAATTTTAACAGGAACCCAGAAGAATAACATATATATAAATATGATTTTATCTAATGTATACATTTTATTTTAACATCATGAATTGTTATATATGTATTAAAGGAATCAGTTTTTATTGTCTGATATATCCAGACACCATCCACAAAGAGTTATATTAACAAATGTTTTAGTTGACGACTTATTGTTCACACAAGTATGAAAAGATTATGCGAATTATTTCAACAGCCATTTTCATAGTCAATAAAATTAAAAACTTATATGAATTAGATAGAATAATGAATAATCCTTAATGAGTGATCAGTAATGGCTACTGTATATACTATGGTGCTTGGAATTTTTACCCATGTCTTGTTTTATATGCTCTACAAAAGAAGTTTAGAATTATTATTAAATTACACATTGTTTCATAATTTTATTATTATTTTTAATGTACAAGTAGAATCAGAAACATTCAATGTTTTACAGTTTTACATTTTATTTTCTTTCTCGTACATTTATGACAGTATTTTTTTTTCATACTAAACACTGATGGAGTAAATCTAAGTAATTAAAGAATGCAGAAACTAAATACGATGATTACTGTTGCTTTAAGCATCATATGCAGAGCAGTAAAGTCGGACTCCAATCTTGGTCCAAAATTACTCAAGTATCGCTGCATAAGGGTTAGAAAAACTTAGCTAAATGAACCGTTTACAAGACAATACAAATCATACAATTAAACGAGCTTTCTTAAATCGTATGGAAGAATTTGTTTTATGTTATATTTTTAAGTAAATCGAGTATAATATATACTTGAGATTTGTGGACAAATGTGAATGTTAAATAGGATTTTATGATTGTATCTAAAAACAGCGATGTATATTTTTTTGTATAAATGTAACGAAAAAATATCTTATGTTTATATGGTACAATCTGTAAACTTTTGTATATTCGTTACAAAGCATAAGTTTTTCTTTTCAGGAATGGTAAAACTATTATGCATTATAAACGTGTATTTACTTATATTTAATAAAGAAAATGATAATACTTTAACTTCATTTTGATAATTTTAGATTTAATTGAATGAGATGACTGTTTATCATTTTTATTTATTTCAATATACCATAAAAAATAAGAATATACAACTAATTAAGCATATATATAGATTGTAATCTCCATTCTTGTTTGAAAATAAAACACAGTGTAAAATTAATGTTATCAAGATGGTAACCTAGGTAATACCTATAAGTTTGATAAATCATCATCATCGGAATCTAATGCTGCTCTTCGCCTGTCAAACTGAAATTTAATATTACTTACTAATTTTTTGTCATTTTACAAATATACACACATCTTGATTTGTTTTAACAATTGGTCAGTTAGATAATCAACATTTGGATGATTAATGTATTACTACACGTGTAACATATTTTATCATACCTTTACAACAGTTTGCCGTTGCGTTTGTTGATTCGCACCTTTAATTAAATTAATTAATTGTTTTTCTCCAAGTTTACCATTTAATAAACCTCGCTGTGCCATATTTAATATCATACTCTCTATCATTTTTCCTTTCTCAGGTTTTCCAAGGCATAATATATTCACTAAAAAATAATAATATAATGTAGTCAATTATATGAAACTTGAGTATGTTAATATTCTTACGTCTCGTTCTGGCGCATTGATCTAATACTTGAGAAAGAATTGAATTTTTCATGTCTTCCATTTCTTGCCTCTTCTCTTCCATTGCTTGTTTGTTGTCAACATTGCCGGGCTAAGAATTTATGCATTAAAAATAAATGGATATATAACTATTTACAATGACTGCAGACTGTATTTAAAAATAGTTTGATTTCGACATAACTTGAAAATAATGAAATAAGCTTAATCTGGAGGAATTGGAATGAATAATAACGTATTTTCAATTCTCATATTGCAATAATTTGATGTATAGGTTATGATTGTATTTTATTTTCATTTATAGTCTTATATTCTGTTATTCATTACTTTTCAAAATTATGTGTTATATAGTAGTTCTGTCCTGAGCAAAACAACAAAATTGATCGATATACCTTATATTGTGCTTGTAACTGTGCTAATCGTTGTTGTCGTATCGCTTCCAATTCTGGGTCCGACATGTTGTGTATTACTAACTTTTATTAGTATCTATAAGATTTGTAAGAGATTTGGTGTAAATTCGATATATTTTTCCACTGAACACACGACACCTCAATCTCAATCACTGATGATCACTGATCGTAATTGGGAATTCTTATTAAAGTCAGTGATGTCAGATTTGGCTCCTAGTCGCGCATGCGCACTGGTTTTAGCGTCAATGAAGTATCTAACACGACCATAAAACTGACGCCCTTAGTCGCTCCAAAGAAAAATAGAATTATAAATGAAAATTGAAAGTAACACCTTGAAAAGGGTGTGATGGTGATTCGGGAGGTGATTTGAAACAACTTTTTCCTTAGCGAAAATGTTGTTCGAGACTTCGTTAAGCAGATATTAACAAAAAATCCCGACCAATCAGAGCGCGCGTATACCGTTGGAGCGCCCGCGGTAGCGTATGAGCGCGGCCGCCTATCACGTAGCTGACGCTCCACCGGCATACTCGCGCTCTGATTGGTCGGAGTTTTCTGTTAATATCTCCTTAACGAAACCTCGGACAACATTTTCGCTAAGGAAAAAGTTGTTTCAAATCACCTCCTGAACCACCCTTTTCAAGGTGTTACAACATTTTTGAGACACCCTGTATATACCTCTGAAGGGGCGCCATGATAATCTTGCCCGGGGCGCCAAGATTGCTAAAACCGGCCCTGCGTAAACTGCTACTTTTGAATCACACGTGATTCAATCACGATCCTGCTCATTCACGATGATTTTTCACAGTAATTCGTGATTCGACTACGATCGTGATTGTGTTATCACCGTAAAAAATCACTGTTAGTGATTTCTCACGCCATCCCTAGATCATAGCATGTGGCATCACTGATGGAGATCCAGCAAAACTCCGAGTTGACTTCAGCGACAGTTGTGAAAAAAGTAGGAAGCTCTGGGACAAGGATAGATAGATAGATAGATCTTTGTCTCTCCAATGATGCTGTGACAGAGAGGTAGATACAATAATCGAAGGAGAGACAAAGACAGAATGATGTTAAACGTTTGTAATTTTCCAAACAGTTATTGTAATTTTATGAGGCGAAGAAGCGATCTTTCCGGCTGATTTTTTTTTAAACTGTTCCTTATAAAATTCCGCTGCAGGGGATAGTTACACATTTTGCAATTCGCTTTTGAAACGTACTAAAAATACGTTTAACGACAAGACATTTTTTGTGGGTCTTTTTCCAAAAATCTTTAACTATCCTCTGCAGCACCATTTTACAAGGAATAGTTTAAAAAAAAAATCAGTGAAAAAGGTTACTTCCTCGCTTCGTAAAATTACAATGGTGTTGTCGCTACGATTGAGACGATTCATATGCCAACATGGCTGCCTCAATATCCTGTTTTCCACCCCAGCGCTGTCGTCGTCTTCCTTTCTGTTACCGTGTCGACCATCTAAACACGCTTTCCGACTTGGTTCGCAGGTGTCGTAGTCGGCTGGGTTTTTTCGCGCACGCGCAGCGAACATAGCATCAATGAAGTATACGCACGACTAAAAAGGTGTATCTTAATTACTAGAAAGAGACAGTTTGATGAAGAAGAAAGAGAGAGTGACAAGGGAACGGGCCCAGATATGACGCTAATTTTGTCACGAGCCTTTGCACAGTGGAAAACTGAAGCGAATGATATTCAGTTTTGAGGGCAGACGATTTATAATTTACGAGATATTCAACATTGAAGTTATTATTGCTGCTTACTTGGTGAATTATAAGCGACTCTGTCAATAGCGAATTCGGCATTGTCAGTAAAACATCAACATAATAATTCCTCTGTCGCGAGTTCGAGTCCCGTTGAAACATTCTTACACTATTCTTTTTTTTCACTTTCTTTTAAAAAATACATTCGTTAAATATGACTTATTTATAACTAATGTGCGGATATATTTTTTAAAACAAACAATTTCCATTTTGAATATATGATGTATATGAACTTGGGTGATAATTTTCGAAAAAGCAGCGGAAATAAAAATTTTAATCACCATGTACATCGAATGAATGCTTTAGATTCACAACTGCAAATTTGTTTATTTAATTCTACTGGGAATACCGCTTAATTTACGTTAATGAAATGTACTCGATTTTTTGATAGCCATGATGCGTACCAAGCATATCTATGTAGAATAGAAATAAATATATTGAAATTCATTATACAAATAGAAACAAGTACAGCAATGTCTCGAAATAAGTAATTCGATCGGGACCGGCGAGTTGCTTATTTCGAAACAGGTATGGTATTCGGGTTGACCGTTCTCGAGCGTGACGAGAAGGAACCCGTAGACAAAACAGGGGGTTTGGTGTAGCGGCAAACTATAAAGTGATCGCTCGAGCACAGGTGTTGTACTTTGGAGAATGATAGAAGATAACATGCTTTCTCATTTTAGCACTAGTAAAATCGAATGAATGGAACGTATATATACTGATGAGGTTCAGTGAGGAAAAGGAAATAAAACGTGCGCAGTTATTTGTGTTTCTTAAATAATATAAAGAAAAATATATTCAGTTTATGGTTAATTTAACACACTAAATGAACACTCATTATCTGCGATTATTATGGACGGTGTCCTTAGATTATAACATACAGTTCTTGAACCACACTTTACTGTTTTACGCTTAGCACGTTCGTTCATTCCGACATTCTAACAGGGTCTTCTCCGGACATTCACACTCGCACACAATCTGTTGTTTCTCAGTGTTGCCACCTTTGAGAGAAGCAATACCAATCTCTGAAATTATTTCTCTAACATATACAACTAACAGTAGTATTCCGGAGAATACACACGCCAGAGAAAGAGAAAACAGTACACACATTCTGTCCTCTTTACGCTTGGATTCTGTGCTATCGATGACTATTTCTTCAAAACAACTTGTACGCACAGAATCACTATCCATTTTCAAACTTTCAAACCTTCCTTCATGTGACTGTCACGATAAAACGACATAAACTTACGACCAAACATAAAAATCGTTGCAAAGACTTACTCACTTACAGCAAGTAGGTATTCCGCCATGATGTTACGTTAAAAATTAATTTTAACCTTAAAATATGCGTAAGGTAATATATAATATACAATATATAGTACATAATATACAAAAAGTATATTTCTGATAGAAAATTGAAAAAAAAAAACATTAATCGGGATTCGTACCCGGGCCGGCAGCGTTACAACCTAATACCCTACCAATGTATTCAACAAACCCTGCTAGATGCTTTTATTGTACATCGACAACAAACGCCCATTCTGAAAAAAGCCAAAATGGTTTTGCAGTACTACATGCGTACTACGGTCTCCATAGGGTGTCGTTGCAAAAGCGATTGCAACATCCGTGCCTTCCCTTTGTTAGTGTGCTTTTTCTTATGTAATTACGTATATTCAAAAATAATGTTCATAAACGTTTTACCATTTTTATTATACAATATTTTTTATATTGCATACTATCATTACATTCCACAAATAACAATTAGTACTTTATTATTTTCGTACCATATTATAAATATCATATCAGTTTTTTATTATTTACTTCTTTGAAATTATCGTAACAGATTATTCTGTATCAATTAATTGCAATGCAATATAAACAACCTTAACAGGAAAGATTATGGGAAATTTGTAACCGGGTGTGGAGAGAGGAAGGCTGGCCACAAGACTGGTCGGAAGGAGTTGTAGTGCCAGTGGTAAAAAAAGGAGATGGGACAAGAGTGAAGGAGTACAGAGGGGTGACGCTTACGCAGACGGTGTGTGTATATACAAGGTGTATGTGGGGGTGTTGGCGGAGAGGCTAAGGAAGAAGATAGAGGAAAGAGGGATTCTACCACCGAATCAGACAGGATTCAGGAATAGAGTGGGGACAATGGATAACATCTATGTCCTCAACTATCTAATGAACAGGCAGATAGCAAGGAAGGGGGGCAAGTTGATAGTACTGTTTGTGGACTTGAAGGCAGCTTTTGATTCGGTGGATAGGAAGGTATTAGCGGAGTCGATGAGGAAGGTGGGGGTGAGAGAAGGGCTGGTGAGGAGGTGCGTGGAGATTTTGAGGGAGACGAGAAGTAAAGTGAGGGAAGGGGAGAAAGAGGGGGAGAGTTTTTGGACGGAGAGAGGGGTGAGACAAGGATGTCCGCTAAGTCCAATGCTCTTCACGATTTTACTGGCGGACATGGAAGAGGTACTGAAGAATGGAGGATGGGGAGGGATGAAGGTCGGAGAGGAAAAGATATACACGCTGGTTTATGCGGATGATATAGCGGTGATGGCGGAGGATGAAGATGGAATGAAAGGGGTGGTGGCGAGATTGGAAAGGTACATTGAGGAGAAGAAGCTGGAGGTGAATTTAGGGAAGACGAAGATGATGAGATGTAAGAGTGGGGGTGGGAGGAAAGGGAAGGTGAAATGGAGGTGGAAGGGCAGAGAGATTGAAGAGGTGAAGAAATTTAAATACCTGGGCTACGTGTTAATGGCGAATGGGAAGCAGGAAGAACAGGTTAATGAGAGAATTAAGAAAGGGATGATAGCGATGAGACAGGTATGGGGGATAGGAAGAAGGAAATTCGCGAAAAATTGGGGTAAAAGGGTATGACTATTTGACAAGCTGGTGTGGTCAGTTATGGGGTATGGGGTAGAAGTATGGGGATGGAAGGGGAGGGAGAAAATAGAGATGGTTCAGGAGAGATTTTTGAAGTGGATATTGGGAGTGGGAAGAACGATGCCAGGATACATGGTGAGGGAAGAGATGCAGTGGAAGTTGTTGGGAGGAAGGGCTGGTATATATGTATGAGGGCATGGGGATATGAAAGGAAATTAAGTGAAGGGAAAGGAGGGGAGCTGGCGAGGAAATGTTGGATGGAGATAAGAGGGAGAGCAGTGAGGGGTAGGGTTTTAGGAGAATGAGAGGAGGAGAGGAGAGAATTTTGGGAAAGAAAGGGGTGGAGTATAGGGGAGGTGGAGGAGTGGAGGGATGAAGGACGATTGAGAGGGGAAGAGATAGTAAGAAGGGAGAGAGGGAAGTAAGAGGGAAGAAAGGTGGAGGAAGATAGTGGAGTCAAGGTACAATACATGGTATAAAATGATAAAAGGAGAGGGGGTGCCAAGGTATTTGACGAAGAATTGGGAGGAAAGGAAGTGCAGTTGGTGGCAGGGTATAGGTTAGGGGATAAAATGAAAGGGGGAAGGTATTGGGAAGAGGAGGATAGAAGAAGATGCAGGGTTTGTTGGGGAGGAATAGAGTCGTGGGAGTATGTATGGGAGGAATGTACGGACTGGGATAGAGAAAAAGTGGCAGGAGGTTGTGACGGAGGTATTAGGGGAAGAGGGGGAAGGGGAGGTGTGGATGAGGAGAGTGGAAGAGATAAGAGCAAGGACGAGCGGCGGAAACGGAGGTCAGGAATGAGAGTGTGTGTGGGAATAGATGAATGGAATCTCTCTCTCTCTCTCTCTCTCTCTCTCTCTCTCTCTCTCTCTCTCTCTCTCTCTTGCAGGTGCGAATGGAAGGAAAAGTTAGATGTAAGGTAGAGAATTAAGACTTAGTGTATAAGTAGTGTTAAGAGGAAGAAATGTAAGCGGACCTCCGTTCCGCTTGTACTCCGCAAAGAGAATAAGATATAACTAACTAACTATAAACAACCTTAACATATACATGACGTTTCTTAACAATATAATATTGAATATATATACATACATGCAAAAGTAAATTATATAAGCTCGGGCGCTTCATACTCTTAGTACGGTACTGAACCATGCTGAAAGGCATTTTTAGATTATCGGCACACCAGCAGCAGGAGAGACGACACCAGCGCTGTGGTGTGCTGTGGCGGAGAGCGTGGAACTCAAGTCATTGTGCAAGCGCATCAGTCTTCTCGATTTCATAACGACAATGCCATTGTAATTTTATGAGGCGAGGAAGTGACCTTTCCGGCTGAATTTTGTTTTAAACTGTTCCTTATAAAATTCCGCTGCGGGGGATAGTTACACATTTTGCAATTTCGCTTTTGAAACATGCTAAAAATACGTTCAAAGGCAAGAAATTCTTTTTTTTCAATTTTTTCCAAAGAACAGTTGACGAGACGATAGATTTACTTCCTCTGATTACGAAATGCATAATTATTATATGTTTTTTTCATTATTGTGCCTGAAAAACGGGAAAAACTATCTAGTAGTTCACCTACTTTCCGTTGGTGGCGTTAGTTTGTCTCCTGCGCACCCAAAAGTACGAAGTTAGTCGATAATCGACGTACCAATCGAACGCATCGAACGGCTATATGGAACTTACGATTGTACGCATATGCAGTCCAGTCGAAGCTTGAATTGTTTCGATGTATATACGTATTGTAGAAGCAATGTGAAGTGATGAATTCTATTTGTAAATATTTTTTTAATGTCGATTATAACAATTACTATTGTATGATAGATCGTGTAAATAATTAGTTCAAAAATAAAAATATGATTTAATATTATGAGATAGATTTCGTAAAAATCATAAATTTTCTTTAATAAATAGTGTTAATTAGAATGTTTACGAATTAGTTGTCTCCACAGTATTATAGTAAACGAATATTTTGCATTTTAATAATATTATTAGATTTATTTTATTAGATAATGTTGATAGATTTCTAAAATTTGCCATCAAGATATATCGGAGCAGTATAAATGTGTTGCAAGTATGATCGCATTAAGAATTACTGGGTAAGTAAATATTGTTTAAAGAATTGAAAAATAGTTATTTTTTAATTATGTTTTCAACTGAAGCAGTGATAACCAAGATTTTATAATTTAAAATATTTTTTGCATGCTTCGTTACATTATGACAAAATTTGCGAGTATTGTATATTAAACTCACCTTAAACATAGTTAGATTTTTATTGATTTTATTTACCTAGAAGAAATGATTATTAATTCATATTTTGGGTTTTGCAAAACTTTATTGCTTTTAGGCCAATATTATAAACTGCGAAGCCCTTTATATTTTTTATATAAGACAAACAAAAATGTTTGAAATACACATGTTGCTTTAAATAGTGTTTGTACTGTCGTACCATGGCGGCATCCAATTGGTTGTGGTTCTAGTTCTTCCCTTAGAATGGGCAAGTGTGCCATCTATATTGTAATTTCTATCTGTTCGTCGTCTGCGTCTCTCATTTTTATTTGTGCTAAAAATTTCATTATCCAAAACAACAAATGATTGACCATTAGTGTGTTGGTTAGTGCCCTTGCCAAAACTAGGAGAATATGGTCTAACATCGTTTTGAAGTACATGATCGGGTGAAGGATTACATATCCTTCCGGAAGACTGAAGTGATGGCGATCGTCTACGTCGGAAACCTTGGGGTTCGTCGTCAACATTACAGACATGGAGTCTATAAGTAGGATTAGTCGACTCATCTTTTAATCTGTTGTATTCTGCCGCATCTACCTGCATTGGTCTTTGGACTTGAGTTAACGACGTTCTCGAGCCTCTGTATTATTATAATATTTACATCAATTAATTGATACTTTTTAAAAGGGTTAAAGATCCTTGCAGTAGAGTGACTAGATTAATACAAATTTTTTACACAAACCTTCGACTACCTGATGGCGGTTTACCGCATATATTTTCCTCATGAATACCCGAAGAAGTACGCAATACTTGAAACGCGTCTTGATCCTGCGCAGTGTTTACACAGTCGAATTGCTCTATATTATTATTTATCCAATAATTATCTTTTCGTCTGGAAGCACTTAAACTACGATCTCGTCTACGATGCATCTTCGGTTCTGTGTACAATTGATTTTCCCGTTTTGTACAATAAGCCGTTCTATATTCCGGTTCAAGGTCCAGATTCCCTTCTAAACGCAAGCTCGATGGCATCCTCAAAGGCTCAACATTTGGTACGCGGCCATAAGGAACGTATTGAGACCTCATTTCGCTCGTAAGCTCGTAATCGTATCGTTTAGATTCTTGTTTACAAAAACTTGCTTCATGGTCCGAAGGAATTAACGTCGATTTCATCGTCAATGATGGTTTTCTGTAGACAGCATGGTCTCTTTGATAATCCAAGTATTTTGATTTGTATTCCGGATCTTGGTCGATTTTCGTTGCAAACTTCGTCGTAGGCGACGAAGGCACTTTAGAACCATCTGCTCGTCCGATTTCGTCCTCAGGTTTTACAATTTTGGGACGCTCTCTGGGGAAGTTCTGAAACATTGTCGTATTTCAGAAACGAAATAGTCGTAAAGTAAGGTAACGTGGAATGTTGCAAATAATATTTCAAATAACGTTAGTGGAAAAGCGCCTAGGATAAGAGGGAATGTAACCTTGCCTTGTACGCGTCTTTATACTCAGGAATTTCAAGTGGCGGACCCTTTAAATCTTCTAATTTTGAGACCAACATTTTCATCTCTTCCTCCTTCGCATTTTTCTCCTTTCGCATCTCTTTCTCGCTATTTAATTGCGCTTCTTTGAAACGAGAATTACCGAAATTATCGGTGTTCTCTGTACTCTGAAAAAAGTCTGTTCCAGTCTTTAGATGTGTTTCAGGTTTAACTGGCAGCGAACGCACTGCAAAACAAATAAATCAAGATACGGCAAGATTTAAAATCGTATCAAGGATTTCGAACTCGATGTTAAAGGAATATTTGAAACGTTACCTCTATTGTTATGCTTTTTAAAAACGTCCATGTACTCTGGCAAAAACGTAGACTCCCCTTCTAGTTTCAGGTTGGTATTCTGCCTGAGCAACCCTGGTCTTCGCACACCCACGAATGGCACGTACTTTTCATGGTTCTCCGTCGACGTTTCGAAGTCACCCTCGAGTTTTAGATGCGTCGGCACACGCATCAGTTCAGGACGGCTGACGTTCAGCCACTGGATGAATTTTTCGCACTTCTCGGTCGTCGTTTCCAAATCACCTTCCATCTTCAAGGACGTGGGCCTACGAGCAAGTTCAGGCCTATGTTGACCCTCGTAGGCTACATACGACGAACACGTTTCCGTGTTTTTATATAGGTCTCCATCCCACTTTGAAGTAGTCCTTCTTTTATTGAACGCAAAAATAACAGAAATAGTAGTTCCTCTTTTAATATTCTAAGAGTGATTGTGAGGAGTGATAGAACTTTCAAAATGGACAGAAATTTTGTAATTTATACAAAAGGAATAAATATTTGTTTGAAAATAAATAGGATTGTTCAAAGAATGTTTACTGGGACTAAAACTGTACCTTCTAATAAGAGATGGTCGTTTGGAAGGATTGACATGGGTAACGACCTTGGAACGTGTAATTTCGGTCTCCATCGTTTTATCATCCTCAACCAGTGCCACGGAAGTCGCAGGATCGTTGCTTTTGGGTTGAATATCGGTAGATTTCGTTTCTTCTGCCTTGAACTCTTCACCATCCGAGGGTTGTGCATCTTCAATCGAATCCTTCAATTGGATATCTTCGACTTCTTTGTTCTTTTCCAGCCAGACATTTTCCTACGGCAAGGGATATGTCTCTGAATAGAAAATGCCATCAACATTCCATTTTTTTCTTTCTTCAATAATTAAATTCTGCCTAGTTAATCAAAAGGTAAATTTAAGTACATACATGGTGGTTCACCAGACACTACCACCCCAGGTTACTAACTTATTATGATATTATTGTTTTTTTATTTGTAGGTGGACGCGTAGAGGACATACGAAGGTCATTAACATTTTGTTTAAAAATGAGATCATATATTAGTTTGTCTGGAAAGTCCGTGCCGATTTTTGTTAGGTGGTACACGTCTGTTTATATTGGAATGGTTGAAAACAATTAACATGGGTGCATCTATTAAAAGGTGGCAAGATCGTGGAACAAAATGGTATTTATATAATTCAATAAATATATGTCAAAATTCAAATGTGCCTTTGAATTTTTCTTAAAAATTGCCACGAACTTTCTGGACAACCCAATATTTTTAAGTCCATTAGTCGATGCGATTTGTAATTTTCTACAGAAATGTATGAATCTATTTATGTCTAAATATTATTAGTTTAATAGATCTCTCTTGTTATAGTTTCGGTGTGACAACAAACCTTGAGCGAATCTTCGCTGATCGCTCCGAAGGTCTCGCAATACTCGGTAACGGGAATTTTGTCCTCCACTTCAGGTTGAAGTCTAAGATTGTCCTTTGGTTGACCTTGGACACGTCTTCTCCGATAACGAGCCAACTCGTCGACTGTTAACCCTTCCAAGAGGGGCCATTTCTCCTTGGATTTGATTTTCCGCCCTTTTCCTTTGCCGTGCGCTAGCTCAGTGTCCGAGGACGATTTGTTGGCACCCCTAGCGGAGGACCTTTGCCTGTGTAACAGTTAGCAAAAGCTGTTATCGTAAACTCATCTTATTCTATATATTATTTTATATATATATATATATATATTCTACAATAGATATTTTATATCTATGCTTATTATTTGTTAGCTTAAGCTAAAATTTTATATTTTATTAGCTTTATAAGTTTATTAAGTTCCATAGTTTAATTAAGTTTCAAAGTGTTCACCTTAGAAAGGTGCGCGTAGCCCTATAATAGTTCTAGATATATATTGATATTAGAAACATAATTACGCCTCTGAAATGAAGTCCCCGTAAAGGACTCCTAGAGCACGCTATCTTTATGGTTCCCTTTGAGGCAAATCCGACAAATTAAGCGACGATCAATCGAAGAAACCCGGCTTTCATCGGAGTTCATATTGTAAGAACTATCGATCCTCCCTTATCTTTTAGGCTAATGAAATACTGGCCACTGTTATCGCATTGGTAAATTACGTTCTGGAGCGTGTTTACCCTACCCAGGCGATGTTATCGGTTTTTAACCAATTGGTCGTTCAACCTCCACCTACTTCGAGGAACACCCGTGTGTGTATACATATATGTATTAACGAGTCTCATTCATGAAATCGGGGTTAGTTGCCCGACCACTTCACAATAAAATCGAGGAGACGGATCGCGTGGTACGTTGCGTACTTCTGCCAAAATCGATGCTTAACGCTTTCTGTTCTTTTTAATTCCAGCGTCTACCAACTGGAATCTATTAACCGAGTTGTTGGTGTCGTCTACCTACAACGCTCAATTTTTGGAAACAGCTAAGGCTTTCTTAAGCTAAGGTTTAGATCAATCTATACTAACGTAGGAAGCCCTCTTCAAATGTGTACACTCTTTCTAGATCGGCAATTAACTCTAAAACTAGCAAGCCAAAAATATATCTCAGAGATATCTGAAAGAGAATTTTTTTATTTCAATCTATTCATTATATTATTTCGCCTAATTATATTTTTTTGTAGATTCAACGCTATCCTTATCGTACCTGAATATGGTAGAAGATCGAGAACTTTTAATCTTACAGCGACTATGATCTCTGATTTCTTCTTAAAAATTGAAAATTACAGTTTCCCGGAAGGATCGAACGGCGATGGAAGAAACAACTCCTCGAGGAAACTTTGCGAAACGATGGCGAGCCAGCGATACGAGAAAAATGGAGCACCGACCCGGGTGGATGCCCGGAACGGACTGAAATCTTCCAACGGAGAAACTGAATCTGTAGGAGGAGGATGGAGGTTGATAGTGGAGGAGGCGAAGCGAAGCGACGCGCAGAGGGTTGAACGAGGAACAGGAAGAGGGTGGTACGAAGCTTTACATGCCTTTACAGTGAGACTACTAGACGCGACGCATCGATTTACGAAGAGGAGTCAGAGAAAGAAATTTCGTTACGACCTAATAGCTCATGAGCACGAAAACGTTTAGCTGTTACACTGACGGCCATGGCGATGTCGACGACGTTGTTATCCGATCAGAATCAAACATCCTTATTTTCCACTTTGAGCTTACGCCATATTCCAAAATTTGAACAACAATCCTGTGCTAGAATTGAATTCTAATTTTCGCAACATAATTTGAAACTATTTTTGTAAATATACATATGCTTTAACCATTCAATTAAAATAATTTCTGTTTACTACAACAAATATTGGACAAACCTAAATGAGATAGACGTTGTTGCTCCTCAGAAATTGATCATTGTATTCGTATCAAATCAGGTCTTTCTTTTGCGTCGACAGAATTTTGAAATTCGACGCTCGGATGTCCGCAGATTCCCGATTGAGTCGATATAGTGAAAGAATGTTGATAAGAAATTCGTAATTGCGGATAAATGATGATTTGTCACGGGGTAGCGTGGCCGAGCGGTCTAAGGCGCTGGTTTAAGGCACCAGTCTCTTCGGAGGCATGGGTTCGAATCCCATCGCTGCCAGATTTTTTTTCTAATCTCACCACGTCTTGCCGAAAAAGTAAAAACAGATCGAAGAGAATCGGCTGCTGAACTATGAAGTATTTTTATCCGGTAAGTCAGTGCTTTTAAAAGTAGGGGCGCGTACAAGAATCGTTCACGTACGTTGAGTAACTTTAATATTTAGACACTCTATAATTTGTATGTTAGCACTTTTTAAACAAGTTGCGATAGACTGTTTTTTGTAAATAAGTCATGATAGACTGATCAGTGTAGAAGGATAAAATAATTAAGGCACATACTAAAGTAATAGCAAAGTAGTGTTTCAAATTATGGCAATAATTAAGATAAATAAATTTTAAATTATGAAAGGAATAGAAGAATTTTTTGACACGAGAAATTTGAATCTATAAGACTGAATGTACATACGTGCATGTATGTATGGATGTATTCACATTATTTGATTATAAGAATGGAGAATTCAGTATTAAAGTCGAATGCACTCTAATAAGCTACACAACTAACTTTACGTTTGATAACCAAACCATTAACTAATCAAGTGTCCAAATATTAAAGTTATCCATTGCGAAAGGGTTGAATGGGTCAAGGAAGGTTGTGAACCGCCTGGTTAAATCGTCGAAATAAAAAAGCATTTGTCATTTCCATCCACATGTATCGCGGCAGAGCGATCGCAATCGCGATCAGGACGCGTTTCTCTTTTCAATCTTGTTTAAAGCAGCCCACGACGAATGTAAGTCACGAGAACTCATGGCCGTTCTTATTCGGCGATCCTTTCGTGCACCGAATTGTCGCTTGCGAGGAAGGGGCGGACTGGGTAGCGGCTAGCACGATGTCGGGGATCCGACGCGACCCCGTGACCTTAATTTTCGTTCACCGTGTCCACGACCGAATCCCCATGAGCCGCCAAATAAATGTCTGCGGGGGCGTTGACGCACGGACACACGCAGCGCCAATTTTACTGGTTCGCATGCTTCGCTCTGTATGCATTTAGCTGGCGATGATTTGCACGCGAGTCCCCTTCCAGCGCGTAAGGAGGCCGCGTGCTCTAATACTAGGATTCCGAACTGCCCTTTTTTGGGAAGGGAAACCCTTCCTTCGTTTCTTTCCTTAATACCGAGTTTTCGTTTGAAAACTTCCGGTACAAATATATTGAAAGCAATGTATCTTTGGAAGACGTGGGATTGTGCGCAAGGTAGATGCGCAGAAATTAACTGTATATACGCATCAGGCGGCGTTGGAATTCTTACGATGTGGGATAAGTTTTATGCCACCTGTTGTACTTGCTTATGCCATGTTATCCTTACTATGAAAATACTGATTGTGAGAGAGAAATGTAAAAAGTGGCTTACGGGTGACCATCTCAACGTTACAAACTATACATTCGCAAAATTTTAGTAAACTTATTTAAAAGGTGCTCGTCTGTAAATTACGAAATGTTTATACTAGCTCTTATTCTCTTCACGGTAGGTGATCACGCGGATTTGATACATTTATGATATGAACTGATATAATAAATACGTGCTAAACACAACCAAAAGGTATTATTACAATAATTGTAGAATGTATTCAACGTACATTACTTTTTGTATGTTTTCTATATTATTGTACACCATGAATGCATAAATTCCGCGGTCCAGTGATCACTGACCTAAAGCTTACACATACATTTTTTTGTATACTGAATAAATACAAATAAAAATAAATAATTAAATTACATTATCAATTAATTATTTAAATGAATAGTTTGTATGTAGCAGCAAGATTTGTTACTCGTTTATCATAACCTTTCGAGGGCTCGAAATCACACTAAGCACCCTGAAGACCTTGCAGAAGCACTTAACACTCGTTTAAGATGATGAATAGCTAAATTGTGGAGGAGCGCTTTTAGCCAGAACAGGAAATTTGACCTCGATTCAAATTTATAGACGATCCTTGTCAATTTTCATTTAGCCCTGGTACTTGTTACCCTTAATATCATGAAGACACTTTATATGTTCAAAATAATCTTTAAACCAGTGGCCTACAAATCAGGAAATGCCTTTAAAGTAATAAATTCGTTACAGACACGACTGTATTAGTAAGATTGCCTCGCGATCCTGACCACGATATCTGTGCCAATCGCGATTCATTTATGGATGTTCAATTTTAGAGAACGCCCCGAATTTACTTTCCTTTCGTGACAGAAGCTTCGATCTCTACAAAGGCAGGAATCCACCAATCATACATTTACATTGCCATGCACGAATACCTTGGAAACCCGTAATTTCTATATTTAGAGTCGTCCAATTATTTTTAAGGTTGCCGTCATTGAAATATCACGAATGAAAAATAAACAATGGGGTTATTTTTTAATTTTCTTTCTAGTAATTTAACTGGAAACATTGCGACGTAATTAGAAATATGATTCAGTATCCTTCGTAAAATACCTATGAATATAACGACTACAATTTATCTTCACATTATTAATAAGTAGACTGCGGATTTTTACGTAAAATAAAATCTTCGCGAACGTGCCTACAAAAGTTGAACCTAAATGGGAATTTATTTTACTCTGCAAATATTATAATATGAATTTTACTCTCAATCTTTTTTATATTCTTGCATATTGTTTGCATTTTGTAGGTTCTTGCACATACAAATTTTCTATAAATGCATAAAAATCCGCAGTCTATTAATAAGAAACCAAAATCCTGCATTCTTTTTACTATCGCCAATTAGGCAAGAGGAACTTGACAATCTACGCATAAAACCGTGACACCGTTTAGTACTCGTGTTAACTTGCTTAATTTTGTAATTACGACTCCAGGTAAACCACAAAGAGCGCGAGATTCTATAAATAGATTTCGACGAGTCTCCTTAGCCGTTCGTTAAACTTCAGGAGTTCGATACCCTGCAATCCGTTTCCCGCCGGAGCGATACGACCTAAAGGGCTCTGGCAAGACACACGTTACCTTTTGCCGGAACGGTCGCTTTTGCCCTCGCCCATTGCATCTTCTTGCTCGATGATCAGCTCCCGATACGCGACACAACGATGTCGAAGTGATCTCTGATTAGGGTAAGAAAGCGTTGAAAGGAACGGTCGCGTTAACGGAACGAGGATCGATAGGATGACTCGACCGTGCCAGATCCTAGTGCTGGCGTGACTGGCTTTTTGGGCAAGATGTTAATGAGAAGGTGCCGGCGATACACCTGCGCAGCTGCGAAGAACTCGAGGAGGACGGGTTGGCGGTGTAAGGAAAACCATCAGCGAACACTTGCCCTCCGCTGGCCGCACGGGTCACGTGTTGAACCTGCAACGATGGTTTGTATTAGAGACATCAAAGGGTTACATGACGGGTGTCCCGATTACCAGATCTCACCATGAATATGTAAGACTCAAAGACGGAGGACAGACTTTATATTAAAAGAAGTATATATATATGGTTTATTAACATCTTTTAACGTACAATATATTAGGTTCTCCCAAAAATTTCTTCCGTGACTTGCATTCAGTTATTTTGTGTGGCACTGTTCATATAAATAGACAACCTAATTTCTTAGATGCTAATATTGTAACAGTAATGGAGTAAAATGAATCGTACGCAATTCAATAATGTAACATTAGACATAAAATATTGTATATGTATTACTTATTACTGAAATGGAAGAAACTTTTAGGACAACCTAATACAAGTATAAAATGCCTTTGGCGGCACCGCTTTCCGCCGACTCGATCTCTATACCGCTCAATATCACACTGACCGCGCACAACGCATTACGCCGTGCGGCTTTTCGGCAACAATCACAAAAACAAAGTCCTTTTTCATGTAGTCGATCTCTCTCGAAATTATTCCTACAAATATAATAGCATTATATACAGGGTGTCCCAAAACTCGGGGAGGAGCCGGAAATGGGGGGTAGCTGAGACGATTCTGAACAACAATTTCCTTTGCAAAAATGTCGGATGGGGCTTCGTTTTTGAATTATTAACGAAAAACATTGACCAATCACAGCGTTCGAGGAGCGCGCGCTCAGAGCATAGGCGTAAGGAGGAGGCTCGAGTCAGCGAACAAGCGGGCCGGTAAAACAGCACGCGTTAATACCAGTGTGAGGTTGTAGCACATGAAACGTCTGATTTATAATGAAAATTTTAAGCAAATATAACTTTTTCTTTATATTAAACGTTACTGATCAAGATAGGAGGTATCGAAATCTGTACATTTAATGAAGAAATTACACGTTTCCTACCTTCAAATACGTAATCGTTAAAAAATTTAAATGACAATTTATCATAATAAATTTGAATCTAACTTTAACATGAGAATCGTTAAAATGTACAACTTACAACTATAAGAAAATGGGTGAAAATATGTAAATGTTTGAAAATTAAAATGAAGGAGACTCTAAACTTTGCATTAATGCGTCAAAGATCTGAAGGATAGAAATATTTGTCGAGAAAGTGGATACAAAAATTTGCCAATACAAAATGAGGCATTTTATGTGTTACAACGTAAAAATACCAGTAATAAAAATGCCTGAAATTAACCCTTAAATGCCCTAAGTTTCAAATTTGATACCGAACTTTTAAATCGAATTGTACACTTGCAATTGGTTCGTTCTTAATATTTGGCTGTATGTATGTTACCATTGCATAATGTTCTTTTGAACAAAAGTTGAAAAAATAAACGTCAGCTGTCAAAATTGTTTAAATCATAAATACATTGATATTTTTTAAAATTTAATTTGGAAAATCAGGCTTCTAAGGGTTAACATGTGAAGGCAGAATTAAAATTAGACTCACCCATTGACTTGTAAGTTGACCTGTTTTCGTGAAGAAGGGCTGCGACGAGTGGGTCATCGCACCGATCCTGGCCTGGTACCTGCTACGCGGCTCAGCTGATGGGACGGCCGGTCACTGAACTCACTGCACTTTACACAGGGGTTTCCACGGTCACTATCACTTTGCACCGAGTCCTTTGCACCCAATATTTGGTGGTCCCGAAAGGGGTCGATTTGTATTATTGGAGAAAGAATACGCCACCCTTTTTTCATAATCCTCTGGGAGTAAATTCTGCACCCGCACATATTTGTATGGGTGCAGAGAATTCTCCCGAAGAATTCGGTGCACCGACGACCGGCTGACGCTGAAGTACAACATAAATAGTTAGTATGAATAGAATACATAATTCCGACAGCAAACACGAAAGCGGTAAAAAGTTAAACTTGCCCCGAGTTACGGCTTACGTCTTGCACACTTTGGGTGGGATCCTCAGCAATCCGATCCAGGACGTCTTCCTCCGAATTCGCGGAACGTAGGCGAGGGCGTCCCGAATCGGCAGACTTCGGTTGGAGGACCCCATCCGAATAAAGCCGCGTTGCCAATAGCTCTTGGCAGTCGGCGGCCGCGATCGCGGATATCGTTGGTGATAACACCGCGCTGCCTCCTCCGAATTGCGCCCGCACTCCACATACACGCAAAATATTTCAAACCATTCTTGATTTGAGCGCACCATTTTTTCCCAGTTGACACTGCGGCGGTCACTTCGAAACTGAATTCTGGAGAAAAACAGTTTTATTTCCAGAAAACACTTCCACCCTTGTTCATTACCTGTCCCCCATCCCTTAGGAACGTTTCTTTCTTAACGAAATGCAACGTCGCGTTGTCTGAACACATGTTTCGCCGAACAGTCAATCGTAAGACAAACCCATTGCCGGTCGACTTGGAGGTAGCGGCCGTCGATGTTGGATACCTCGTTTTTACAACCACTTCCCCAAGACACGGTAACTTCGCGACCTTGTCATAAATTTTGCGATAGCCATGCAGCGGCCGACTAACTGCTTTCGACAACCCCTACATGTGACGCACCGTTCTTTCCTATCAATGGAGAAGGTATTCCAAGTTTCGGCGGAAAGTAAATGGTTTTAATGTTTCTTAAAATCCAAAAATCACAAACTTCAGACATATGGAGAACTGAAACTCGAAACCGTTTGAGATAATACATGCCTTATTATTTTGTTATTTTGATTTATTTTGATATTTGCAAAATAAAGATTTATTAATCATTTGGAGTATTATCTCGGTGGCTGCTGGGCACAATCGACGATTAAAATCATTTACTTACCTAACCCAGACCTAACCCAGACCTGGAGGAAGATAGAAGGAACTCTCTAATTTTTTTTATTTTCCTTTCACGTGGATTTAAGGTATGTACAATCAAGCTTTATTAATTGTAAGTACGAAACAAAGGACATAAGATGAAACAAAGTTCCTCCGATTTCCTCGTCTAACTTTGCCACGCAAATGTTTTTGACAAAGAAAATTAAGCTAAATTGTGATAGACGCGACGCTAAATTAGATTCTAACTTAGGACGAGTCCTGATGCTTCCAAACCAGGTCTTGAGAGAACTCCTGCATCCCATTAGGATGTCTTATCGCAGACATCTTCCATCAAAACACGGTCTTAGTTAAAATAATTGTTTGGTAGAGTCGGACTCAGACTTTGGAAATCGAAGAGAATTTTTTCCTTTCATATCCATGGGTTCTTACTTAGTAGTAGAAGGAGATCGAAGGAACTCTGATTCTTTCCATCTCCCTCGCGGGTCTTCATTCGCAGCTACCTTCTCGTGGTGAGAACTGGATATCGGTATTATTACGAACAAACCTTCGTCGCGAGTAATAGCGAGCTAATCGCTGCGAACTTGTAATAAGATCTTCAGAACCGTGCCAAATTATGGTACTAGCACGATGATTGTCCTGCTCCTTACGCGCAAATATCCAATCAAGTATTGAACGGAACATTCCATGATCACTGGTCGACAAGGTGAAGTTGTTCAGTGGCCACCACGTTTACTAGATTTAAATCCGCTTGAGTTGTTTGTATGGGGAACATTAAAAGATAAAGTTTATTCAAACCAACCAACTACTCTTTGTTGAATATAATGTTGAATATAATTAAATTATCACACGTTGGTTTCGCCTCGATCTTTATTTCACGCTGTTGTTCTCTATATGGCTATACAAAAAAGACTTGAAAAGGCTCTACTATCTCGGCTAGTGAATGGAAACCCCCGTGCGCCCTCGGTCGCAAGCACATACTGCCAGCCGTAAGAAACGAAATTTGCTAAACTATATTTAACACTCTTGAAAATATGAATCAAAAAATTATCACAGAATGCGGTAATGTTTAAAAAAAATACCATGTCTGTCATATGTAGTATATTCCCCTTCTAAGTAATCATTTTCCTCGGAAGACATATTAGGCGACTCATCCTGTATAATGGACAAGCAACTATATTAATTACTAGTACAAGTCATTAATACTAACCAACTATAGCAATTCATTCATGGTTTCACTGACGTGGATCAGGGCCGATTTTAGCAATATTGGCGCGCCGGGCAAGATTATCGTGGTGCCCCTTCAGGGGCTTGAAATTTTTAAGAAACGAAGACAATGATATAACTATAAAAAAAGAAAACTCATTTTTATAAATATATATAGAGATATTTATCATTTTTAATTTACAGAATCAATTAACGATTTCGTACTACTACTATCACTAATTTTCCCTGACGAACATTTTTCCCCACTCATTACTACTAACTGTAAATAATAATTTTTCATGTAATTTTAAATGAAAAATAAAATCTTCACTTACTTTGTGTATTTTCTTCTTCGTCGTGTCACGAATTTTGTTAAAAATTCAACGACAGATGGCGTAATCTATCAATTCCATTATTATCATAAAACTTAATTATATAAAATTAGTAAATAAATATTTCTTTGTCTAATATATCTAAATCATATTATTATTTAATTAACGAACGTTTAAAATACTAAATTTGCAAATATTCTACGAATATTAAATATTTAATTTTATTTCATAGCAATTCACTTTCCATTTAATTGCTATTAATTATATGCCTAAATTTGTATACAACAGTTGCAAATGATACAATAATCTACTTAGTAATCTATGATTTATTTTTTTCACACCTAGGGAATTTTTAATGCAGTACATGAGAATGCAGCCATAAAATGATATAATGAAAACTTATTTAATTTTAAATTCTAGTAACTAATAATGTTACGTTATCTATACATTTTTTTGTCCGTTTAGAAATAACATAATTTTAATTTTCTTTCAATAAAAACCGAATACGGACTGTCGAGTTATATAAACAACGGTGAGAAGCATAGATATATAACGTTTATGGTGAAAACGACGCTACCATGTGCAGTTTGAACTTTTTTGAACGCTGTTTTCATTTGTTTTAAATTGTATATATGGAAATAATGTTTTGATCTATCAAAAAGTTTAAATAATAGGGAAAGTGCTGTGAAAATGAATGTCCAGTTGTTTGCTCATTCTTACTTACGTAATGAATGAAGTATTTACTACGAAACAGTTAATCAAACCATAGAAATGAACTTGTGACATTTACTCGAATATTTAATTATGAATCATATTGTAAATAAATAGAATTTATACTTATACAAACATGTTCATTTAATATTTAAGTAACGAATTTTGTTATATATATACATATTTATTTATATTTATATTAAATTTACGTTGAGGTATAAATTAATTGAAATGAATTGGAATCAAAAATTATACAAAATACATTATGCTTCGGTCATGCGTAAACAATTTATAAAAGCTATAAAAAGTTGAAGCTCATAATGAAGTGAATTTGATATAATGGAGTTATATCATTCTTACAATCTTCACTTGAAATATTGCCAAAATAAGTTTCTATTCTAATGAAATAGAACAAACAAAATGCAATCTCTTAATAAAATGCCATCCTTCGGGGATGATACTTTACATGCCTGTCTTCAAGCTGAAGTTAAAAATAATGACAGTGATATGGAAAAATACTTTAAAGATACTATTTTTTGTTCTAAGTCAATAAATAAGTCGATTGATGTTGACGAAATAAATCAATCAAAACAACACAGTATACTGCACAGCTTAATCGAGACAAAAGCCAGTTTAAATAAAAATAATTTGGAACTCGAAGAACTTAAGAAAGATACTATTGCTACAAAAGAAATAAATAGTAAACCTAATATATCAAATAAGATGAAACTCAGAAGTATTACTTCTTTAAACAGAAATCGTGATTCATCTAAAATAGGAAAGGAAAATATTAGTTATACAAAAAGTGGTTTTTCATCAAAGACAAATACGTTGTCAAAAAAATGTAAAGAATCAAAAGTGATCTTAAGTAAAATTAGAAGTAATGATGCATATAATACAATGTATGATACAACCAATAGCAAATCATCTAACAGTAATGTAACAGGAAGTATTGCTGAAAAATCATCAGAAATAAACCCTTCTATTATTACTATTAGTACTCAAGAGAGACACAAATTGGCTTCTTGGGGTTTACCACCAAATATTCTTCAGGTAAAATATTATAGTGGACATACATTTAAGAACATATGAATAACTATACTTTTATCATTTATATTAGTGTATTACAAATATTAATAATCATTTTTTATTATACTTTTTAAGAGTCATTAATACATATTAGGCTTAAGAAAGATTTTTGGTGTAAGTAAAAGTAGAATTTTTCTGAAAAAAGCACAGAACACTTTTTTCTTTACCTAATAAAGTATATCTATCGCTACATTTAATTAGCATTTATTTTCATGTTAAAAAGGAGTTAAATGAATTCTACAATTCTAATTACTTGTCTTTTATTTCGATACTTACTGTATGATACTTTTTTACATTTAAGCTATCTATTATCTTAAACAGCAGTAATTATATCTTGCAGAAATATAAAATACAAGGAATAAAAGATATGTTTGCTTGGCAAGTAGAATGTTTATCAAATCATAAAGTCATTGAAGAGAAACGTAATCTTATATATTCAGCTCCAACATCTGCAGGAAAAACGTTAGTGGCTGAGATTCTTATGATTAAGACAGTATTAGAAAGACAAAAAAAAGTAATATTTATTCTGCCATTTATCTCTGTTGTTAGAGAAAAAATGTATTACTTTCAGGTATGATTTCTTTTTACAATTAATCACTTGAATTCAGCATAGTACTTTTATTTGATTAATGTAATTTGATAGGATTTCTTATCCAATATACTTTAATTTTATCAATGCAATTTGGTAGGATTTGTTATCCGACAGTGGGATTAGAGTCAATGGGTTCATGGGTGGTGTTGCCCCACCTGGAGGATTTTCATCTACTCATGTTGCAATAGCAACAATTGAAAAAGCAAATTCCTTAATAAATCGTTTAATGGAAGAAAATGAGTTAAGTAATTTAGGTGCTGTAGTGATTGATGAATTACACCTTGTTGGTGATCCAAATCGAGGATACCTTCTTGAATTACTTTTAACAAAATTGAAATATATGACCCTTAGGTAATTGAAACACGTTTATTGCTACGTTTATTAATTATTTATTATACTCATGAAATATTTTTGATTTAAAATAATATTATACTGTGCTTATATGATATAGTAAATATTATGTAATAACTTTCTAATGAACATGTATCACTTTAAACATAAAAATGGTAATTTTATTGTGTTATAGAGATAAAAATATTAATATACAATTGATTGGTATGTCTGCAACACTTCCAAATTTATCCATGTTAGCAGATTGGTTGGATGCAGAACTATATAAAACAGAATTTAGACCAATACCCTTAAATGAACAATGCAAGGTACTCTTTCACAAAGTATAATTATGCAACTGGTACCTGACTTAAAATTGATAAGGAAATATTTTTTTGTTTTTAGATTGGTAAAAATATTTATGACAGTAAATTACATCTTATCAGAAGTTTAACACCAATGGCAGAATTAACTATGGACACAGATGATGTTCTTCACCTATGCATTGAAACAATATCAGATGGACATAGTGTACTGATTTTTTGTCCAACGAAAAATTGGTGTGAAAAATTAGCAGAACAAATAGCAGCTACGTTTTTTAAATTAGGTTTGTCTAGTAAATGCAAAATTTGTATTTTCAATGTAGTTGACAACTGTACAATTAAAAAAGTTTATAGTTAAAAATTCATAATGAAGTAAATATTTATTATGCTTTCTAGGTCAAAAAAATACACAACTAGGCGAAACTTTAAGGCAACAATTAGATTCTACATTAATCTCCGAAACATTGGAGCAATTAAAACGTAGTCCTGTAGGTTTAGATAATGTGCTAAAAAACACAGTTTCGTTTGGAGTTGCTTTTCATCACGCTGGTCTTACAATGGATGAACGTGATATCATAGAAGGTTCTTTCAGGTATTTAATTTACTAGTTTCAAATACCACTACTAAATTAGGCTTTATTAAATGTTAATTGTTTCAGATCAGGATCTTTAAGAGTCCTTATTGCAACATCAACTTTAAGTAGTGGAGTAAATTTACCAGCAAGGAGAGTAATTGTAAGATCTCCAATGTTTGGTGGTAAATTATTGGATAGTCTTACCTATAAACAAATGATAGGACGCGCGGGTAGAATGGGCAAAGATACAGCCGGTAAGATTAAATAAAGAAACAAAAAGAGTTTTGTTGTCTGCACTCAAAATATAAGGTTATTTCTTTCCATAGGTGAAAGTATACTTATATGTAAATCGACTGAACAAAAAGCAGCTGAATCGTTATTATCAGCTACTTTGGAACCCATTATGTCATGTCTTGAAGATGTAGAACCTTTAATTCGAGCTCTTTTGGAAGCTATAGCTAGTGAAGTTGTGTACACTCAATCAGATCTCGAGTTGTATACGAAATGTACATTAATAAATTTATGCGATGAACAGAATCCACAAAATTGTTCAAACAGAGCAATCAAGTTTTTAGTAAACAATGAATTCTTGTTGTAAGTATATTAGTAGAAATTATTTATTAATTTTCGTATTAGTTAATACAGGTTTACTTCACGCATCGTAATATTATCTAGATTGCAACAAACAGAAGAAGGCCATAGATGGGTAGCCACAGCGTTTGGAAAAGCATGTTTAGCGGCTTCTATACCGCCTAAAGACGGTTTGTTTTTACTTGAAGAGCTTCAAAAAGCAAGAAGATGCTTCGTCTTGGATACAGAGTTACACGTGATATATTTAGTAACACCTCTTAGTTCTGGAAATCAGATTGGGACTATCGATTGGATGATCTTTCTAGAATTGTGGAAAATGCTTTCAGAAAGTGAACGTAGAGTTGGCCAACTTGTTGGCGTGGAAGAACGATTTTTAACATCGGCTATTAAAGGCGTCGTGCGGACGGGAAAATTAGTAAATTATTTTTTACTCAATATACAGGGTGATTATGCAAAATGAGACAAGCTGTAGCTTCTTTTTAAGTGAAAATACAAAAAGTTAATAGAGAAAAAGGGTTCCATTGCGCAATAGGAATTATTTTTTAATTGTATGATTTTTTTGTGCAAGTGTAACTAAAAATTATTTCATCAAAAGATTATCGAACATCTCTGTACCGATATCAAACACTGTTCTGTAGAAATGTACTGCAGCTTGGTCTAGTTTACAGAGTTATTCTATGTATAAATTAATTATTTCAGAATTATGTGAACCGACATACATCAATATTTTACTTTCAGCTTAGTATACACAGAAGATTCTATACTGCATTGGCGTTGCACGATTTGGTACGTGAAGTTCCTCTTAATACGGTTTGTAAAAAGTATGGTTGCTGCCGTGGAGTTCTTCAAAGCTTACAACAGTCTGCTTCTACGTTTGCTGGTAATGTTCTTGGTATTCATAATTTTTATACAAAGTATAAAAGTTTAGTACAAATCACCTGATACATGATAGTATTTCAATTTTATTTATAGGAATGGTCACGCAATTTTGTAAGCAACTCGGCTGGGATTGTATGGAATTATTAGTTTCACAATTTCAAACACGATTACAATTTGGTGTATGTAGAGAATTACTAGATTTATTACGCCTTCCAATGTTGAATGGACTGCGTGCTAGAAGTCTCTATAAACAAGGAATTACGTGTGTAACAGATTTAGCTGTTGCAAATGAACTTGATGTTGAACGTGCACTCTATAAAGCACTTCCATTTGAAAGGTATCATTTTGGTGAAAATATTTGATTAGTATGCTGCGTTTTTAATGTTTTACACTATCAAAATGATATTTTAGTGAAAAAGGACAAGATGGTGAACACGAATCGGAAGCTGTGAAACGAAACAAGATGAGGACAGTATTTGTTACTGGGAAAGATGGTTTAACCCCTCATGAAGCTGCAGTTATGTTAGTGAATGAAGCTAGAGTATTAGTTCAGGTATATAATTATTATTTCTAATAACTGTTAAATTTGAATTATTTTAAAAGTTAATAATTTTGTTACTTAATTACAGAATGAACTGAAGTTGCAGGATATGTCCTGGAAACAAAATGAACAATCTGTTATTACAAATGAATCTCATACTGTAACTAATTCACGAATACAGCAAGATATATTTCAGAATACAGAACGTATTGATATACAAACGAGCATTAAAATGTCTACATGTACCAATTCGCAAATTGAAGTTCACACAGATAAGCGTGAACAGAATTTATGTCCAACAAGTACTCCAACTATTGCTTCTGTTGATGAAGAAAAAGACTTATTTAGTAACAACTCGTGTAAAGACGAAAAATGTAAAGTTAATATACATACCATAGAAAATGACAAAGATTTTGAATGCACTTTAGAAAACAAAAAATGTAAAGTTAATATAAATGTCGTAGAAGATATTAAACATTCCGAGTATAAAGTGAAAAAAGATGTAGTTGAAGAAGATATGAATGATGGTATAAAACTTACTAATCAGTTATTACAAATAGATATTCCAGAATTTTTAGATACTCCGACCGAAAAACTTTCTCTTGATTTCTTCGAAGTCAGTAGTCCCAAATTAATGGATAATTCGCTAGAAAGGAGAGTCAGTGAATCATTAATCAGTTTCAAAGATGACAAAATAAATCGAACACAAAATATTACTTCTAAACATTTAGTAAATAATATACAAAGTCCTCCAAACACGAGTAATATAGCGACTAACAAAATGAAACCCGCGAGTGAGATAGATACTGGGATATCAATTTGTGCAAATGCAATTAGACGATCATCTAGTTTTGCAAATCGTGAAAAACTAAGTATTTCAAAAAGTCCCAGTTTATTCGACGATACTTTAAATTTGGACACGCAAATTTGTAATGTTCTTGAACAAAATATCATTGACTCCTTGCATTTCTCAGAATTTGAGGAAACTAAGTTGTCTGGACTCAAACTAGCATCTGAAAGTAAAGTAAAAACAGAGTCAAAGGGTACTAAAAATGTTAGTAATGAAACACAGACAGAAAAAGTTGCGATAGATAAAGCTATAAATAAGAATTCTACAAGTTTTTTAAACATGCAAGTAAAGCACGGTACATTATCGTGGCAAGATGATTCTTGGAACGAACCAATCAAAATCACAGAGAAGTTAAATCAAATTAATGACAAAATTAATGAAGTATCTATGAAACACAATATTAGACACGTAAAAAATACAAACATACAGCACATTGTGGAGACTGCTGAAACGAGTAATAAAACGCCAGACATAAAGAAAAGATATGATATAAAATTTAAAAAATCTATAGATGTTCCCGATGATTTAAAAAAAATACCACAAAAACGCAGATTTAGTGATATATCGACTGAAAAATCACCCGTGGCAAATGTAGTTGTTTTTTGTCATAATCGCACAGCATCATTAGATTCGAATAAGTCGGATTCAGACAGTATTATTATTGGTTCACAAAATGTCAATTCACCTGCTGCAAGTATTAAAATACGAGCGAAATTAGATTCTGAGAAGAAGCAAAAAATATACACTCAAAAAGTTTCGAATCTCGTATTGGATGATCTTACAAAACGTACAAGTTCTATTTCAAATGCAATACAAATCGAAAGGTGTAAGATTAAACCAAAATTGAAGGAAATACTTGCAAACAGTATACGAAGTAAAGATTGTAGTACAGATAGTATGATTTCAAATTCAGATGAAGATACTCCTGTTAAATCTGCAAAAATCTTACAAAAATCTAAACTCAGCATTAAAAAGTTACAAAAAAATTCTGAAACATGTTTGCAGAATAAAAAGCCTGTGAATAACGCAAATGAAACAATGAATTGGAATACGTTAAATATTGTAAAAGTCGGGAGTGATAGAGGAACGTTCAATTTATTTAAACGTGAAGTAATGAAAAAACGATATATTGCTTTAGCTTTGAATTGTGAAATGTATAGTAATGATATAAATAATATAGGCTCTAGAATTATTAACTCTACCGAAAGGAAGAAGAGATCTAAAAAAGGAGAAAACTATGTTCACGGAGATAAAAAGTTATGTGGTGCGGCTATTTCTTGGGAAAGCAATATTGCATATTATATTTCTTTCTCTAACGAGCAAGGTATTACAAATTATGTTAATGTCATTTTTGCTTTTCGGAAACTATTAAAATAATATTCTTTCAGATTTAAAAGTTCCAAGCAAAGAGCAAGTAAAACTATTAAAAGAATTGCTTAAAAATACACAGTTAAACATAAAATGTTTTGGAACTAAAGAAATATTTAAAACTTTGTATGAATGCTGTGGTATATCTGCAACTTGTAAGTTTCTGGATCCAAAAGTAGCATCCTGGTTATATGAGGGTACAGTTTATGACAAAAATTTTAATGAAATGGTAAAGAATAGATATAATTTTCAATCTTATCTACGTTTCTAAATATTCATAGTGTAATTAAACTGTTTTAGTATTGTATAGCGATAGTGTATGTATTTTTAAATGTTTTTTAAATGAGCATATGCATTGTCTGGTAAAAAATTCAATTTTTCTTCATCAAAAGAAGTTGCAGAGGTTTTTAAATTTATTTTTAATTTATTTAGAGAAGTATTTAAACTGTAAATAGGTAAAAGAATATTTTCCACAAGGGTGCTTCATAACAAAACGAATAGGTGCTTGTTCTGACACAGGACCTGGATTAAATATTAAAAGTTCAATACCAGGAGAATTCAGAGCAGCTGCAGAAGCTGTGCTTACATATTATATGACAGATACTCTTTTGGAGAAATTAGAACAATTAAGTCCAACATTACTATATACATTCAAAGGTAATAGTATTACTGTATTATATCTATATCAATATTTAATTTCTCTGTGTTCTGTTATCCTAAAGTTCGAAATCATTTTTTAGATATTGAAATGAAAACAGTGACTATACTAGCTTGCATGGAATTAACTGGTTTTGGCGTATCTTTAAAGTCATTACAGGATTTGTCTTCTATTATTCGTGAAGAAATGGAATCCTTACAAAAAAGAGCATATACATTGTCTGGTAAAAAGTTCAATTTTTCTTCATCAAAAGAAGTTGCAGAGGTTTGTAAATATATTTTTAAAATATATGCTTATTTGTGTAATTATTTTAATCACTAAATATTTACTGATATAGATTTTAGGTTTATATAAAGGCAAAAAAGCTAGCGTTAACAAAGCTGTATTAGAACAATCTGATCATCCAGTATCCAGTTTAATTATGTCATGGCGTAAATTAAGTACAACTCAATCTAAAGTATGTATATCAAAAGGATGACTTAGCTAAGCAGAAGCTAAGCAGAAGCTAAATATTGAAAGCTATCAAATGGAAATTTGAAAAAATTAAATATTATTACTAAATCTTTTTTGTTTCATAGATTATATACCCAATATTATATTTGGCTCAACATAGTTCTCGCATTCATAGTAACTGTGTTACATGTACATTAACGGGTAGAGTTTCAATGCATGAACCAAATTTGCAAAACGTGCCAAAGGATTTTACTTCTGAAGACAATAGCTTTATAATAAGCGTTCGAATGGCGTTTGTACCAGCTATAGGTAATATTATGTTGTCAGCAGACTACCGTCAACTTGAATTGAGAATATTGGCTCACTTTTCAAAAGATGCGATATTATGTGACATTATGCGGAAACCGGGTGATATTTTTAAAAACATTGCAGCAAAATGGAATCAGGTGTCCGAAGACCAAGTATGCGAAAGATCAGAAGTATAACTTACTGTTCGAAGTAAATTTCAATTATTTATTATTCAAAAATTTCCGTTCATAGGTCGACGATAAAATGCGTCAGCATACAAAGCAATTGTGCTATGGAATGATCTATGGCATGGGAGTAAAAACTCTGGCTGAAAATTTGTCCGTAAATGAGGTTAAAGCCAAAGAATTTTTAGAATCTTTCATGAACGCATACCCAGGTATATCTAAATGGCTGAGCAGTGTGTTGGAGGAAGCACATATAAATGGATATGTAACAACTATATTAGAAAGACGAAGAATACTTCCAGGACTGAATAGCACAAATTCAGCAGAAAAATGTAAATTTTGTTTTTTAGTAATAATGTATTCGATATTAATTATCTACTACTTAATAATAATTTCCTTTAATAACTCATAACATAATCGATATATCTCAGAGGGCTAGCTGTCTGTGTAAAGAGATATTCTCGAAGCATAAAATCTTGTTACAAATCAGTTTAACCAATAAGCACTTCCAATGAGTATTAATAATACGAATGATAACTTTCATATTCTGTATTTCTACTAAAATATTTATTTGAACTCAACATGTTTATTATTCTGTGTAGTTTTTTTTTTTTGTTAAGAAAAATGTATCAATTCTTAAGCTATATGTTAAGTTTTTGCAAATTATCCACCAATAAATTGCTATAATTTTTGTATTATATAGCACAAGCAGAACGTCAAGCTGTAAACACTAAAGTTCAAGGTTCTGCAGCAGATATTGCTAAAAAAGCGATGGTAAATATCGAAGAAAGAATACGATTTGAATTTCCAACTGCAGCAAGTGTTATGCCTGCTATTTATCCTACACGTAATTTAAGAAGTAACAGCAGAGAAGCACAACAAAGAGGTGCCTATTTGGTACTACAACTTCACGATGAACTATTGTACGAGGTAAGCATTCTGTAAAATTGTATAAAATACTTAATATGAACATTGAACTCCTACGATTATACAAATTTTTATTTTTAAAGAAATATTAAAAATTTGTTAATTTTAGGTAAATATAAATGACTTAAAAGAAGTTGCAACAATAGTAAAAGAATCAATGGAGCATGTATGTCAACTTGCAGTACCATTACCCGTAAAGCTCAGAGTTGGTCCTGCATGGGGGGATCTATCCGAATATACTTTTTAATGATGATCTTTTTATGTTTGTTGCGTTTTACATTTATATATTTTTTTGTGTAATTCTTCAATTAATCATGTTGATCTATTTAAAATGTTATTTATTGAATTTGCACATGCACTTTTTACATGCATTCGTAGTTATAAAAATTTCATATATTTATACTATATTTTTACTTTTTTATACTATAAACTAAAATAATGAATTGTGTATTTAAATTGTATAAATAATATATATTTTAAATGATTGTACATCATAGAATTAAGCAAAAATAATATTAGGTATGAAGCTTAAATGTTAAAAGTTCTTTTATATTATAGTAATTCGTTTTGAGTATTAATCATTGTATCAAATTCTACTATACTATTTTATCAAGGTAGAAATCATTAATACAACACAATGTTTAAAGATACTGTATGAAAAATATATAGTAATTTATTTTTTGTATTTTCGTATATCAATATTATTATTGTATTTGTAAAAATGCAAAAATGAAATGATTTGTACGAAACTATTAAATTGTACAGTAAATAAAAGGGTCGTAAATATTTAATATGCTAAGTTATTTTATGTAATTGCAATCCTATAAACAAATATTAATCTGTAGATAATTTTTAAATAATGCTTTTCAAATTGTATCACAAGGTGGTGCTAGCGATTGATGTAATTTTGTTACTGCTGTTTGTACTATTTGTTGGAAAGTTTCATCTTCTTTGCTAGTTACTTCTAAATTCAGTAAATCTATGTGTGCTTTTTTTCCATCAACAGTCACATATAGCTTTTCTCCTTTAAAAATTTTAGGTACAGAATCTTCACCAAACATTTCTTGAAGCATTTCTATCAAACACTCCTTGAAATGCATGCGATCCATTTTTGTAGGTGCTGGTAATACTTTGGGTGGTTGATCCATCATTTCAGCTTGTAGTATCGCAGTCAAAACAGAATCTGCATACATATCATTTACAGGTGTTGCAATCCATTCCATAGTCACAATTTTTCCATCAATTGTTACATCAACATTTTTAAAAACGCGTAACTTTTTATCATCTACTATTTCTAAATTTCCAGCAATTTGAATCAGAAGGTGTTTTAATACTGGCAACGATGCTGAAAAATACACACTTTGCCTTTGAATAACTTGACTCATACTCATATCGGTATATTTTGATAAGTCGCAAGGTGCCAGCATGTGATAATTGAAATTCCTTTTAACTAAAACTCCAGATAATATCTGTCCTGGTTTCGGTGTTTCCATTGCCAATGTTCCCATTACTTTGGCAGTCTTTTCTCCTCTGAAATATAACTCAACAGCAACTGTATTTCTGGGATTATGTATCTCCATTGTTGTACTAGGATCATCTTCATATTCACGTTGTAAAGCAGCTTTCAATCTTCCCATTTCATTCTGTTCTCCATGTACGAGTACAACATGTGGTGGTTTCAAAATACGTATGAATTCTGAAGTCTGTTGATAATCTGTATGTGCTGAGAATGATATATAGTCGACAGACATTTTTAATGGTAACTTTTGTCCAGACATAGTTGTAATCTCTTCAGGCTCTGATAAAATAGTTTTAGCTAATGTTCCTTCTACACAATAACCAGCTATTATTACTCCATTTTTGGCATCAGTACACCACGATTCAAACAATTCTCTTGACAAACCACTTTGCATCATACCAGGGGAAGCCATCACTACACATGGTCCAATGTCTTCAAAATGGTCGATCCCTTTTAAATTTGAAATATGTTTAAAGACAAAAGGATTATTGATGGCTATCTGTCTTCTTATTTTATCATTCATAGCATTCACATAAGTTTGGTAGACTGCCATACACTTCTTTGCTAATGAAGAGGCATAATATATAGGAATTTCATGAAGTTCAGGATGCTGACTCCAATACTCATCTAAAATAAGCAAAAGTTCTTGTGCTCTGCCTAATGCAAACACAGGTATCAAGCATCGTCCACCTCTATTAACAATTTCATGAACTAGATTTGTAAATCTTCCTTCACGATCTTCTCTTTTCTCATGTATATGTGTACCATAAGTAGACTCAGTAATTAAAACATCTGGATGAATATTTGGAATTTCAGCAGCCATTAAATGTCTATCTTCTTGTCGACTGAAGTCTCCAGTGTACAAAATTTTAACACCAGCTATCTCTATCATAAACATAGCAGCACCTAATACATGTCCAGCATTATAGGCCCAAAATTTGATTCCAAATACATCTTTTTCTTCGTGAAAATTAATTGTTTCTATTTTATCCATACTGGTTTCAAGATCTGATTCAGTATATAACATTTGCTCTGTTGCAATATTGCTTACTTTGATGTAATCGGATAATAGCCAACGATAAATGGCTTTGGTGGCATGTGTCATGAAACATCGCCCTTTAAAACTGGTTTTCTGTAAAAACCATGGTAAGGCTCCACAATGGTCCAAATGAAAATGAGAAATTAATAGTAAATCAATTTCATCCGCTTCTACTAAATCTACAAATGGTAATGCATCCATTCCAGATAAACCAGGATGAATACCACAATCTAACATAATTTTCTTTCCTTTGAATTCCAACATAATACATGATCTTCCTACTTCTTGGCCAGCACCAAGTGGTCTAATCGACAATAAGTCACTTTCTTCAGCTGGTACTTGTGTATCTGGTTTTCTTTTCCCAGACATTTTGTACATATTAATAATAATCGTGTAGTAATTAAACTGAACTATTACCAAACTTATGCTCTCATAGTTTCATATTTTTTATACATACAAACTGTGTTTTCGTATACAAGTTTGGTAGGTTATGTGCAAAACAATGCACATCTTTTCCCTCGCTTATAAATGTTGTATGAATGCATCTTAGTTTAGCATTCTAAAGAAAAATGAAATGTCCGTACATTATACACTAATAATTACTAATTTGTGTATGAAACTGGCATGAAAAGTAAAAATTTATCTTGCTGGTTGATATTTAATATATGTGAAAAGTATTTGCAACAAAGAGATTAGGTTATAATCTCGTTGATTTGCAACGAAATCACATAAAACAAAATAATGTTATCCTTCTATGTGTGTTTTATGAATAAACAAATATTAACGTTTAGGTTTATAACAATTGATTGCGGCTTTGTGAAAATAACCTATATATCGTATGTATGCAAGAAAAACAAACGACATAGTGTTGATTGGTGCCACCATGAAGGCTGTATAAGGAGATCCAACTTTCCTAGGGAGTTAGATTTCGTTATGCAGTCTTCATAGATGTACTAAAACACAGTGATGGCCAAAACCCTAGGCTTCGAGTAAATCTGAAGTTTGCCAATATGTTTGTCTCGTTTCCTCTTTCGAATATTTCCCAAAAAAGGAAACGAGACAAAAACATCGGCAAACTTCAGATTTATTCGAAATCTAGGGTTTTGCCCATCTCTGCTAAAACAACGGATTACTAATCTAATCTAAGTATAGTACAAACATCTATGGTTTTAGCCCTCATTCTCATGTAACGTGTATAGGAACTTAAGGCTTGAGCCTTTGTATGTTGGTAATCTATGTTTTGACATTAGTTTAAGATGGCGGTATTTTTCAGTGTTGGTGCGTGGTAGTAGTATCGGGTTCTTTGATTTTTTCGTGTTATTAGTAGTAAATTCGTTGTTAATAAATTATGGAGGCTGGTGCGAGTACCGGTACTCGTACAACGCGATTTATGATGGAAGGTGTCGGAGCTCGGGTCATCCGTGGACCCGAATGGAAGTGGGGTAAACAGGTTAGTAGTAAGGTTAACTTATTTAAACATTATTTTTCTCTAAAACACTGTATTGTATCTGTCAGGAATGCATTTAGAATGTCTTAATTTACAATTTCTGTTACATTTTTAACACATTATGTAATTTCGTGTTTATACAGTGTTTAAAATGGACATATACATGTGTGTTTAAGGTTAGCATACAGTTGATATTTATTTTATTTGATCCTTATCGAAGAATCATTTAGACTTAATATATTTCGTAGAATGAATATACGTACTTCTATTTTTATTAAAAATATAATATATATTCTAAGAGAATGTTTAATTGCATATTTAATTTCTATCTTCATTTTGTGAAAAATATACAAACTATAAAAATAAAGAAACAAAAACATTTATACATCTTAATATATCTTTTGTTAAGTTTTAAGATTATTTTGATGATATACGTTTTTAGTTTATCAAATTTAATTTAACTTCTCTTATTTCTTATAAAATATTTAAGGCTTTTGTAGCTTGGTCTTTCATGATAGATAATATCTGAGGCTTCAAAATGAAAATCTTGTCGTTTGGATAAGATACTTCAATGTTTTATTGGCATTGCAGCTAGCTCGTATCAGTGTCTCATTTGATCTGTGGAATAGCTGGCTGCAATGCTGGCAAAATGTTAGAATATTTTATTTGAAGGATTCAGCTTTTAATTTCTTGTTCAATAGGATGGAGGAGAAGGCCACGTGGGAACTGTTCGAAATTTCGAATCTCCAGAAGAAGTTGTTGTTGTTTGGGATAATGGTACAGCCGCTAATTATCGTTGTTCTGGTGCATTTGATCTTCGAATTTTGGATTCAGCTCCTACTGGTGTAAAACATGATGGAACAATGTGCGATACATGTAGACAACAACCAATTTTTGGAATTCGCTGGAAATGTGCAGAGTGTGGAAATTACGATCTCTGTTCTATTTGTTATCATGGAGACAAACATCACCTAAGACACAGATTTTATCGTATAGCAACTCCTGGAAGTGAAAGAGTCTTATTGGAACCAAGACGTAAAAGTAAAAAGGTATTAATTTGTCTGTTTAAATGTTATAGAGTTACATGTTTAAGTTTACATGTGATATACATATATATATATATATATATGATATATTACATCCTATATAATATAGATATGTAATTCTTTTCATACATAATTTTAGATTGCAATTCGTGGTATATTTCCTGGTGCAAGGGTTGTGCGAGGTGTTGATTGGCAATGGGAAGATCAAGATGGTGGAAATGGACGAAGAGGTAAAGTCAATGAAGTTCAAGATTGGTCAGCTGCCAGCCCACGTTCAGCAGCTTATGTTATATGGGATAATGGTGCCAAAAATTTGTATCGCGTGGGCTTTGAAGGAATGGTTAGTTTAAAAAAATGTATTTTTCATTCAAATATTAAATATTGTCGAATGTATAAGCCTGAAGTGTTTTGGTATATCTGTAAACTCCTCAGTGGCGAGGATTAAAGCAATTATTTGTATGCGTAATTATCTATGTAAGAGAACAGTGGTCTGTACACATACAGAATATATAATTAGTAATGGTATATGTTTTAGGCGGACTTAAAAGTTGTTAATGATGCTAAAGGTCAAACAGTGTATAGGGATCATTTGCCACTGTTAGGTGAACAGGGTCCAGGTCGAACTGGTCCGCACGGATTACAAATTGGAGATCAGGTAATCTATGCATATGAATAAATCTGTAAGATTATTGTAATAATCTTAAAAGAAGTAATAAATAATGTCTTTTAAATTACAGGTTAATGTTGATTTAGAATTGGAAATAGTGCAGTCATTGCAACATGGACATGGTGGTTGGACAGATGGAATGTTTGAGTGCCTTGGCACTACAGGTACTGTCGTTGGTATCGACGAAGATCATGACATTGTCGTGTCATATCCAAGCGGAAATCGATGGACTTTCAATCCTGCTGTATTGACGAAAGTGCAAATACCAGTACCAGTTACCAGTTCAAGCTCCGATAATCAAACATTTGCGGTTGGAGATTTGGTACAAATATGTAATGACTTAGAGAAAATTAAACTGCTTCAACGCGGTCATGGAGAATGGGCTGAAGCAATGGCGCCGGTTTGTATTATTTTTTAGTTGATCATGTTAGTAGTTTGTAATTATTTTTATTAATGTTTCCGCACTTTAACAGACTATGGGGAAAATTGGTAGAGTTTTGCAAATATACCACGACGGAGACTTAAAAGTAGAAGTTTGCAGTACATCTTGGACTTATAATCCCCAAGCAGTTACGAAAGTAGCGAGTAGCGATGGTAGTGTTCCGGGAAATAGCAGTGGAGGTACGTTTCAGTACTTAAAGATAATTGAATTATACAGGGTGTCCCAAAAATGTTGTAACACCTTGAAAGGGGTGGTTCAGGAGATGATTTCAAACAACTTGTTCTTTAGCGAAAATGTTGTCCGAGGTTTCGTTAAGGAGGTTCGCGTCGAGACGCTACCGCGTTTCTAGATATTAAACGAAAACCCCGACCAATCAGAGCGCGAGTATGACGGTTGAACGTAGGCTACGCGTTAGGCGGCCGCGCTCATACGCTACCGCGAGCGCTCCATCGGCATCCTCGCGCTCTGATTGGTCAATGTTTTCCGTTAATATCTCTTCAACGAAATCTCTGACAACATTTTCGCTAAGGAAAAAGTTGTTTCAAATCACCTCCCGAACCACCTCTTTCAAGGTGTTACAACATTTTTGGGACACCCTGTATTTCTTTTCAATATATATAGATCGCTGATATTATCATTAATTATTTACATTAATTATCTACTACAACCATTTATATCTTACTTTTAATTCATATATCTTTTGTTTGTACTGTTTTCTAAAACTTTTAAATACGTTGCTTTTTTAGAACGTTTATCAGCACTGTTGAAGAAATTATTTGAAACGCATGTTTCGGGTGATGTTAATGAAGAATTGGTGAAAACTGCGGCAAATGGCGATGCTGCTAAATGCGAAGAATGCTTGAAAAGACCAGAAGCCGATGTAAACGGTGTATTTGCTGGCCACACTGCTTTACAAGCTGCAAGTCAAAATGGTCATCTAGAAGTCATTAAAATTCTCCTCCGTTACAAGGCAGATGTAGAGATTGAAGTAAGTATTTTTTATTTAGTTTATATATTAAAAAAAAAATGTTTATATATGTATTACTGTGGAGATACTTATGTTTTATAGCAACGACTATTGTATTTAAATCTAAATTCGAAAAAAGTATGCATTTATAAATAGATATATTTAAAATAATATGTGTGGTACATTTAGGATAAAGATGGAGACAGAGCTGTACATCATGCAGCTTTTGGAGATGAACCAGGAGTAATGGCATTGTTAGCTGGTGCGGGAGCTGACTTGAATGCCAGAAATAAAAGACGTCAAACAGCCCTCCATATCGCGGTTAATAAAGGACATGCTGGTGTAGTGCGCACGTTGTTGGAATTAGGTTGCCATCCAAGTTTACAGGTAAGTTTTTATTTTACATACATTTTCTTCTTATTTTGTGTGAAAACATAATCTAGTACTTGCAATTTTATTATCGATGGTTAAAAATATCTTCTCGAATGTAAATTAAAAGTGATATTGAACTAAAATGAAAATTATTACGAAATATTAAATTAAATATATTTAGTATTGTAAACTAAGATCTACGTTGATTTTAATTTTACAAGCTTGACTTTTCATATCAAATGTTATTCCTTATACTAATTAAACTTGCATAGCATTGCAGTTACACATTCATTAATTACTTTACTTGAGAAGCATTATTTGCTTAAAAAGAAATTAAAAGTATGCATTGATATTTTAATTCGATATGGAGTTTTTGTTTTATTATTAGTGTATTATATTTCGAATATTATTAAAGATATATCACGTAACAAGGTTGTGGTTGATGGTGGGTATTTTCAGTAGTAAATTGTTGCGATAGCTTTCCACAATATATCATTAGCATTACCAATATCAAGGTTGTATAGGCGGGCTAAGAATTTTAAGAACTTACAGCATTTTATTCTCATAATTTCCTTCTTCGGTTTTCCCTCAAAAAGTATATTTACCATTTCTTAAATCATTTTTAGTGATTTTTCATATACAGGGTGGAGTACAATTTTACAATAATAACTCCTTATAAGGTCATCCAAAGGTCAATGTTATGCATGTTTGAATATGTCTTTTTATCAGATACAAAATTACAATATTGAAAATACCTCATTCCGACTGAAAAAACGTCAGTGACCTTAAAATCTTGGAAAATATGACCTTCAGATAATTTTTTTGTCTATAATAGTATGATCCCGTTGTAATATTTTTCTCCTAAGACATCTCTGCGTATCATTAAAAGTAATGGAGATATTTTAGGTACAAATCTTAGGTGGCTCACTCTGTATATTTA